ATGACTCCTTCTCACACGGCTACGGTGTCTCTGCTTCGTTTCCCTCATCGTCAGTCCCGTCCACCCCGACATCTACAAGATCGAGGAGCCCAAGTATTTCTAGTCTGGAAACTATTCCAGACTCGCCTGATGCGGAGGAGGCAGCTATGGAAGCAGAGAGGATTGCCCAATTGAAGGCTGCCGCAGATGCCGCAGAAAATGGCGATGCCAGTGAGGTGAAGGGCAAGAGCGGCCTAGACGCGCCCTTGCGTGGCAGGACGTTGGGAGGGTTTGGATCGAGAGACAAGCGAAAGCGCTGGAGCGTGTGTGGCGCCGAAAGACGACAAGATCTCGACTTGGAGACAATTTGGGAAGACTGAGAATCCGGAGACCTCAGAACAGAACGTACATCGCAAGTACGGACGACAGTGAGGCAGACGTGGACCGAGAAATACCTCAAAGGCTGGAACAAAGCTAATCGTTTCGAGGCCTGCAATGGCGTACAATATCCGACACTCATTTGTGCCGAGTGTCTGGATTTCTTTGCACTGCATTTAGCATCGACAAGGTTATGGGCATGGCGGCGTTCAGTGAACTCCTTCTGATACCCTACACTGCATTTCAACTCTCAAAGGGCATGACGGAAAGATTGTAATCATATTTGGTTTCTGTACTTTACTACAGATGGGGGTTTTTACTCCCTTCCGGCGGGACTCGACCCTCCACTTCGAGAAGCGGCGTAAGAGGTTTGCTTGTTAATGAAATATACCACATTCATGAACTTTCTTCTCCCTTTTGGAGGCGTCTTGCCGACAAGCCGTTGTGTTCTGATGTTTTGGCTCATTGCGACGATGTCTTAGCCGTGGTCGCTTGAAGGGGTTGAAATCCGCCCCCCTTGCGTGATACTATCATCCCCCCTCCCACTTCTTCAGGGCCCGACTCTCAATAGACAACACCCATAGTCTTCCCTCTATTCTTGAGCCCTCCACACTTTAAGGGACTCAAGGGCTCGAAGCCTCCTGTGATGGAGATCATGCAACTCCCTGAAGATCTGAGCGATGACAGCGCCAGTGTATAAAGAAGGCGATGGCTTTCACTTCAAAGATCTTGGTGTATCAGGCAACTCAGCTTTCATTCATCTCGACACAACAATTTATAGAAATTGTTGTTCTGAAACCTCATTTTTTCGGTGTCTTCCTAGTGCTGTTCAGATCATTTCCCACCACGATGCAGCAAGGTCTCTTCTTGGGCATCACCGCCCTTCTCCTCGGAAATGCGGTAGCTGCTCCGAAAAGTTCAGACGAACAGGTGAGATTGACAGGAAACTCAAATCATATCCTACGAGATGGGCGAATTGCTAAAGAAAGTGAAAACAGATTGCCGCCCACATCGTCCGAGGCCCAGACTCCCGACCGGACCTAGAATCGGGCGAATGGGTCCGCCCAATCGCCGGCCGGGGCCGCTCCCGATTCCATTTCAACGGTACCTCCAATGGGACTTCATCTGCCGTCGGCACGGGCACTGCCGCGGGAACCGCTAGTAGCACTCACTACACGCTCTCGTACAACTCCTCGTCCACTGCTTCCACCTCCTCGTCGTCATTTCATGCTTCTGGATGCCCGGAGAGTGTCACCACCTCCTTCACCACGGTGGATGTGACGTTTTACATTACGGCGACGACTTCGTATCGCGGCAACTTCACATCGTCGAGGGGTACCGGCACAGCCTACTTGCCTTCGTCTTCATCCTCGCTGCCTGTCAACTCTACCAGTTCAAGAGCAGCGTGGAACACCACCTCTTCGACTTCCATGATCCTCTCGACCGGCTACACTTTGCCCGTCAACTCAACAACCGTTTCTTCCGTAGCGCCGTCCGAGTCTCCCTGTCCTGACGATACCGCCAGCACTTACCAGCCGTACCCCAACATCACGTCGACATACTCCAGCTCATCCTTGACGACGGGAGGTTCAGATGGAACCGTCACTTCCGTACCCGTCTGGCACAACACCACCACGTCTGCGGCCCCCTCTCAGACAACCGAGCCTTGCGACGATGATATGAGCTCCACATCCTCATACACCAACTCAACCTCGACGGCATTCAGCAGCCAGGTCAACTCCACGGCGCCGTGGTCCACCAAGACATCAACCAGCGCGGCCGTGGAGACGCCCTGCGATGATGAGACCAGCACCGGAAGCACTGTTCCCACGCCCACATCTAGCATGCCCCTCGCCAACTCGACCACGGCGTACACTCTCTCCACAAAGACTCAAAACGGAACATACAGCCACCCAGCCTCCACCGCCTCGTCTTCCTCAACCGGCGCCACGACCGAGCCATGCGATGACGAGACCACCTCCAGCGCCTCGATAGCCCCAACATCGTCCAGCTGGACGACACAGACGCCCGACGTGACGCCCTTCCTCCCCAACACCACCAGCAGCGGCATCACCACATCCACCGCCCAGGCGACGACGGCCTTCTCCTCCGTCATCCCGACGGAAAGCTGCGTCATCGACACCTCCATGGCCCCCATCACCACCGCCTCGTTGACTACGGTCCCTACCTCGACGACAATTCCAACCAAGACGGTATGCCAAAACGACGCGCCGACGGGCAAGCCGATGCCGGGTAACAACCACTGCGGCGTCCACGGCTTGCCGGTAGGCAACTACTTCCTGGCTCGCTTCGTCAACAACGCCCCCAACGTACCCGTGACCCTCGAGGGCTGCTACCAATTCTGTGCCGTAAGTTGATAATCCTCTCTCTTTCTTTCCCCCGACTCTCAGCCCAGCATGACTGACAAGACTCCTCCCTCACAGAGCGTCATGAACACCACCGACGGCTGCAAGTCGTACCGTTTCTACCCTGAAAAGGGCCTCAATGTCCCGCGGTGCGACCTGTACGGCAGCACCGTCGCTTACGCGCTGGACTCCATCGACAACGACCACCCTGATCTATGGTTCGACCTCACTTGCGGCTCGCCCTCCAGTGAACAGTGGGCGCACCTTCCAGGTATTGAGCGTCTTCACGAGCTCGGCCTGGTGAGGTAGATTCATACCTTACTGGACGGCGACTGAGGCGACTTGTGCCTAGAATTGAACATACGAAATACGAAGGATGCTATTGAAGCATCGTAATACAACCAGAGAAGTGTAATAGGGGGGTTCCACAAGATGGAGTAGCGATATGGAGAACAACATATAGTAGTGCATAATAGTATAATCAGAAAAGGTTCATTATTCGTACCTGTCATGGCCTTTTTCTTATTCATAATTTGCCATGAGGCAGCCAGTCATACACGTCTAGTCAAAGGGTATCCGTCGCAGATTATCGCGAGCCCCCCTCTTCCTCATCTCTTGAGCAGCGGCGACACTGCTAGGGACCTTGATGCCGCAGCAATCACCCCAACCGACGTGTTGATGCTTATGCTTGCTCACATTCCCCGGGTTAATCTCGCCGCTTTCCTCTTCGTGCTCTTCGTCGCCTAGCTCAAAGTCTTGCTCTGTGCTCATCCCATCTACTGCTGGGATGAGTGAACCGAACAGGAAGTGTTGCATGACCGGCAGTTTCCTCAAAACCTCGGCGACGAACATTCGGCGCATACCCCCCTCCACTTTGGTCCATGACTTGGAAGCTGAGATGTCGTCCAACATGGGGCTGTGCCATCGTAGACCCTTGACAGTTTTCGTGTCGTTGACGAAGTTGACCTGGCCAAGGTAGAGATAATCGTGACTGAATTCCTCCAGCGTGAGGTCTTGGTGGATTGCCAACGGTGTGATGAATGGGTGGTGCAGAAGCTGCGAGGCGCCAAATAAGAATGGAAGAAACTGGTAGTCATCCAAGCCCCATACACCGTGTGAGCCAGCGGGTTCCAGATAGTATGTCAACTGGACGTTACGCATGACCTGCAGGTACCGCTCAAAAACCCTGAGGACCAATGGTCGGAAGTCGTCCTTGGTGATGATTCGGAGTTGGTAAAGGCATAGAAGCCACATGATGAAGTTGAGCTCATGCCCTGAACCGTAGTCTATACGCTGCCTGTTTCCAAAGGAATGCTCCAGATAGACCAAGACCTCAGTGTTTGCGGCCTCGCCGACGCCTAATCCCGCCTGCCAACCCGCTGCCTTCTCTTTCACCAGGTCTAGGAACGTCCGGAAGGCCTTGTTTCCGAAGCGCGAGCCCTCTTGATCGTCGGGGGGAGCCTCTTTCACAAATCCGTCTACTTCGTCGAGTATGCCGAGGATTGACCGTAGCGTAGGGCTGAGTTCGCTATCTTTAACGGCGGAGCGAGGTGTATCTTCGACGGACTCGGAGAGGCCAAAAACGAAAGCCAGGACCAGCGTGTATGTTGGAGACGACAGGAATAGCTCGTGGTCTTTCTGGGAAAGGATCCGTCTTGAGGGAATTTTGTATTCGTGGTCATCGAGGCTTAGTGATGCAGGCAGCGCGGGCGTCTCGGGACGTGGTGTTGGGTTGGAGGGAGTTGGTCGACGTCGGCGGGGTTCAAGCTTGGGAATCTTATTACTCAGGGTAGGCACGGCTGTGGTGCCGGCATGCGTTGCGGTATCTGCTGGAGCCATAACGGGGTGATCGCAAGGTTGAGAACAGATACCCAGTAAGAAAGGGATGGTAGTGCAACCAAGATTGACGGAATATCGAGCGATGTTGAGGTGAAAGTGAAGCTTAGAAAGCTCGCCGTGCTGAGTACGTACATACACGCCTGGTTAATGAAGCAGCCCCCCACCTGAGGTAAGGTACGGATACAGGACGTGCCTGCCGACGCAGATCTCGAATGCAATTGGTCTGCTGCTGGGGACTTTGCCTTGTGAAAGATACGTACCTGTGGCTCGCCAACTTCATCCTAATTTTTCCTTCCGGAAGTTGCTTGAGGCAGGATATTCATGCCGCCGTTGTACTAATTCGCACTCACTTTCCAAGCATACTTCAAGGGAGAAATCCTAACTCACCAGTTCATTCCCTTGTTCTTTTTCGCCAACATTTCCGCATTACCGTTCGCCATGACTCCCAACTTGAACCCCCAGGCCTGCATCTCACATCTGCCGCGAGTAGATGGCTCGGCAACGTTTTCAAGGGGCGGCTATTGCGTGGTTTCGGCCGTCAATGGGCCGATTGAGGTCCAACGGCGAGACGAAAACCCCTTCGAATCGGTCATTGATGTTGTCGTACGACCTGCTGCAGGGGTCGGAGGTCAGACTGTCCTTATTCTGGCACCATGTGGCCAATTTTGCTCACAATCGTGACGACTATTTAGGCACGGGAGAACGCCAACTCGAGAACATTTTGCGGTCCGCTCTTCGCCAGCTAATTCCCGTCAAGAACTTCCCTCGGTGTCTCATTCAGGTCACGCTTCAGGTGACTGAGACGCCGCAGAATGACTATGCAAACAGCAAAGTAGTACAAGCTCAGTCTGTAAGTGAAGAAGTCCATCTCAGATATCTCGAAGCCACCGCCTGGTGTCGCCTATGGAGCACTGTTGCTGACTGTCTTTATTAAAGAGTCTGTCCCTGCTACCGGCTCTCTTTCACAGCGCCATCTTGGCCTTACTGTCGGCTGCTGTGCCTTTAAAGGCTATCGCCACGTGTGCCACTTTGGCCGTCTCCGAGAAGGGTGACAAGATCATCGCTGACCCGTCTCCTCTGGAGATTGACCAGTCAAAATCGCTTCACGTGGTCATCTTCACGTCGCAGAACGACCTGTTGTTGTTGGAGAGTGAGGGGACTTTCTCCATGGCCGAGTGGGATGAAGTGATCAGCAAAGGTCAATCAGTGTGCAGCCAGCACCGTCAAGCGGAGCTAGGTGCGGCCATGCACGACGACAGCCAAGACGCGGCCGACATGCAGCAGTTTATCCGGACCGTCATGGAATCGAAGGCTGCATAAGATCAGCCCATCAATCGAAGTATGCAGGGTCTTGGAACCGTCGAGCGACAACCGAGGGGCGGGTGATGCCTCATTCAGGAGTTCTAGTGAAGGAGATATCGACACTGGTTGAATGCAATCGATGACGAGAAGGATGATACCAACGAAGAACGCGCGGCATCGACGTCTAGGCATCGGGAATTGCACCATTGTGCCGAGAGAGATGGACTGGATTGGTTCACATAGTTATCAACGGTAAGAACGACAGACTGGGGAGAGTGCCGAAACGAGACGGCCGACGGGGTGGCAAGACGAATTATCATGAGGTTTAATCAGGGGGAGAACAACGATGACAGCACTCGGAAACAGTGTTGGAGCTGGAAGCCGGGAACCGGCTCGGCAATGGGCCTCTTCACAGGCTATCACTTATCACAAACGTCAGAAGCAGTAACAACAAGACACAGAAGACAAGGGCCAGAAAGTTATCTCGCGGCCGATGTTGGGAAAGTAACGTACCTGGGTCAGGTCGCATATCAAAGTCAAGGAAAGTGGATTGGTTGTTATCGACGGCGTTGTTTGGCCTGTTTGAAGGTCGCTGAAAATGCGGCGTGAGGCGGTGTTTCAGCTCAATCTCAGGGGTCCTGAAGCGGGCAGGGGCACGGGGAAACCTGCGACAATGACAGGCCCCGAGGTTAGGAACTACCGGGTGTTTCTGACCAGGACGTCTCCCGTCACGGTGTTACCTTTGACGCTCTCCCGCCTACGGAGGAAACTGGAAACGGCTCCGTGGCCGTCTGCCGTGGGAGGAAGGATTGGGTGTCTTGCCTTCCTACGTCGGTCGGCACTGGAGAATGGTGTCATTTTCCTCTGGGTGGAGTCTCTCCTGTTTTACCTGGCGCAAGCTACCTTAAATGCCCAGGCCTTCGAATACCCTTAGTAGAAAATTTATTATCCCGAGAAGATCTCCAAGGTTTATCAAGACCACTCGTGCCTGAGATGGAGATGCCAAAAAAATCATCCACGCAATAGTCTGGGTATGAAATGAGGTGACCAATGAGTTGTAGCCGCCAAGAGCCACGGTTGGATACACCATACGAAGCGGCATGGTATTAGATTGATTTTGCTCGGGGTGGCTTCGGGCCAGTTTAAGCATAATTGATGGTATGTATGTAAGGGCGGAATGCGATACTCACGTCCCATCTTCGGGAGCAGCTTTCCTTTCCTCCTACTGTCTTATAAGCGGAAGCTCAAAGGCATGGTCTTGGGCTCTTGTCTTTGATCTACATTGGCCTCCAGTAAGCAAAAGGAGTGAGTTTTATCTTTGCGTATGCATATGTTCCAGCTTGGTGGACCCGGGCCTGTGACCGCTGTTCCGCTTCGAAGTTTGGGCGAAGGCAGCGCCGCAGAGCTTCTAGAACGTTGTGCCAGGAAGGCAAAGGTAGAGGTACCTTGACTTATCGGTGAGGAATTTCCCCTATACGGTGTGATAGCAGGGCTTCGGGGTTTACCAAACGCACGTGTTACCCAGTAACATGGGCCGGGTAACCGCCAGCCAAGCAGGTTCATGTACATACAAAAGAATGAGGTAGAAAACGTAGTGAGGTGAAGTACGGATATCTTAGGTAGCTCTATCCATACCTAGCGGGCCAAAAAGCGGGGGGGTGTTTGATCCGCATTAAGTCCAAACCAGCTCGACTCCTCCTTCCTTCTCCATGCAACGCCAATGATAACAACAACAAGAACGACGGCAACAACCTTGGGACATGGGATTTTGCAACAACAGCAGTACGGGAGGTGGATTGTTGTCGAAGACAGCACAGCCCTCATTCGTACGTTCTCCAGGTTCCCACAGACAACTGACGGCAAAGCTCCATCTGCCACGTCTCTGATATCACCTAGGACCTCTACTATTTGTTGAACACATCAGTGCTGGTCCAATATCACCTTGGCTAAGGCATCTCGAGGTAAGGTTCGTTCCGAGAAATGTCTTGGCTATCGGTTCTTCTTACACCTGACCAATTCTTGTCGTCGCATCCCCCACTTCACTTATTCACCTTGCCGGCGGTTGACGTTCTACCGGATGGGACGCTCCAGATCTGCAAAAAGGTTTTCTTTCTGGAGTCTGTCAAGCCATGATTTTCTCGCCCAGTAAGCCGTCCGTTTAGCTATTGGATGTCTCGGCGCTCCCCCAAAGGTAATCGAGCTGTCCAGCAGCAATCGGGCTACCTCGGACGACAGCCTCGATCTGCAGATATCACACACACCTACCTACCTACCACTGACCCTTGCTTCTTCTCTTCCTCTATCTTGCTGTCATCGGTGGATCATTGTTGCCGTCTCGGGAAGCCTAGTACCGCCCAAGCCGAGCAGCAGCAGAGAGTCAAGGCTCACGTCCTCGAAACACACTGGCATAATGCAGTACATCACTGGAAGAGGATCTACCTAGACTTTGCCCCTCGCTCAGGAACAGGACACAGGCCAAGTAGCGGCCTGCGTCTTCCAGCGGAAAGTTGAGGCCAGACCCGGCGGCGAATTCACACGCACACACACACACACACACACACACATACACACGCACATGAAAGAAACTCGCATGCCGTACCTTACTCGACTACAAACGAGTGATTCAGGAGAGAGTCAGAAAAGTTGTTGCCGCCAGAATTTGTGTACGGTGGTATGGGATATGGGGAAAGACTTGTCATTTGAGACGACGGGAAACGGACAGATTCGTTGTTTCGCCTCCGACCACCCTGGCCTAGCGGCGTCCCAGACATGAGAGTGAGACTGCACAAGCACCGGTCGATCAGAGCAAAGCAGAGACCAGATTGAAGCCGCATGGCTATTTGGTATCCAGTGTACGCGTTGTGCGAAGACCTAGCCTCTGTCCAGTCGATAGCCACGGTTTTGGTGTTATCAATAGCCACCGGATCATCTCTTGTGGCTGTCGCACTACCGTACAGGCATGCCTCCCATGCTGCCTCAGTATCGTGACTGCATGAATTGCTCTTGTCATTGGATCCAGCGAGCGCTTGCTGTTGTTACCGCTTGTTGGAGATAGTTCCACGTTGCCCGCAGTCTGGCCTATGGTGTTGGTTCTTCTCACTATCTTAACAGAAAGTGGACAATTCCAGTCAAACGCCTCCGACAAATAGAGTCGCGCACAGATCTGAGGCGACTCGATGGCTGGATGTCGGACTGCCCGGTCTTTCTTACACGCGGTGGGTGATCATTGATGCTACTACACGTGTGCAAAGGACAGGACCAGAAGTCCAGACAAGAGCTGATCATAGCAGACCAAGGGTAACATCAACAACAACAATTATTCGGTGAAGATGAGGGCCTCTCTCGTCTCGTCTGTTGACGTAAAGGAATATACACTAGGCTCGAGTTGCAGAGTATTCGGTACCGTCACAAGTGCGACAGTTGTGGCGACCCAAGCGGGTACACGATACACTTAGTGTCCCGTCTCCTGTTGCCTCTCCTAGACGCTGCCCGCAGCTGCAAAAGGGGATGCTGTGCTTGAGGTGCGGCGGGCCCGCCGCGTGCCGCGTGCCTGTCAAGACACGGCAGCATCTGGCTCCAGGGCGCCGGTAAGGTAGACAGTGGTGTACTTCGTGAGGTAAGGTACCTGCTCTACTATCCACGGACCAGACGTATGTACGCAATACGGGCTATATCCGTCCCCGTACAGCAGGTAGCCCTCTCGGTATTGGCGCACCACGATCCAACGGGCCTGCATTGGCTGGGGGCTGGGGACTGGGGACCAGAAGACGTTCCTGGCCCACCACGGGGGTCTGCCAATGTCATGCCGCCCCTTGTTCGTCTCCCTTGCCCTCTAGACAACCTGGCCTTGCAGAAGAGGTTAGAGGAAGAGACGTTTGACTGGGGATCGCCAGGGATGTGGACGGGGAGTACGTATCGACGTTTTACCACTCGCCGCACCTTGCTTGCTCTGCATCCTCGCTGGCTGGCTCTCACACCCGTGGGCTTCATCACAAGCCCAATCTTCTTGAGGAACCAGTCCTATCTCTAGGGCTACACGTGTATCCGTAGCATACGGATGCATCGTAACATACCTACCTTACGCAGTAGTTACGACTACGGATACACCTAGCCACTATCGGATAGAGTCCGTAGATGCGTATCTGTGCTCCAGGCCACCGATTGTCCGGCCTCCTGGCAGCAGGATGATGCATGCAACATGGCAAGGCGCGTACTGCGGGAGCTGAACCTTTGAAGTTTGGAGGCTGCCAAAGACGATAGTAACACTGGTAAGCATATGGGTCATGGATGTGACCAAGGAGTAGCAGGGTATTCGTAGTTCGTAACTTCGGTCTTCGTAACTTCGTACGGATACAGTCCAACAACACGGCCAGGGAGGAATAGAAGAACAAGGTAATAGGTTATGGATCAGGACTGGGGGGCACGGGTAGCGAGAGGGAACAGAAGATTGGCTTCTTGATATCTGTACCTTACACCACCTGAAGACGGAGTAGGGATACCTCGTGAAGAAAAGTCAAGTGGATTATCCTCAGCCCGGAGCAGAGTAGCAGGACAGGGTGCTTGAGCTTGGGCGTTGTGGCGGGAGCGCCCTTTGTCGCATCACATCCATCCTGCTGCTCCATTCGATCGACATCAGACTGAAAACAATAGAAATGCTGAGGGGTGGGGGGTAAGGGGAGGAGAGGGGAGAAATGTCGATTGTGACCTAGAATATTAAAGCTCCTGCACTGCTGGGACGAATCTTGAACTGGCCTCCCCTTTGTTCTCTTGTCAGTCAGTCTGGTCACTCTCTTATTCCGTCTTCGTTTGGTTTATCGCTCTTCTTCCTCCTCTTCCTCCTCTTCCTCCTCCTCCACCACCACCACCACCACCATCTCCTCTTCTCTTCTTCTCCCCCCCTTCACCCCGTTCCTTTCGAAGCAGAGCTCCGGTAGTTCTAGCAATTACCTCGGCCGCGACGTCTTTTGGGGCATTGTTCATAATTCTTTACTTGCCTGCATCGCTTTGCCTTGTCTTTACATCATATACCTAGTGTGTGCACTGCATTGCTGTCATACCCCTTTTCACTTAATTACCTCGTTGCGGTTGCTGGCTCTTCATCGTGTCTTATTTGCTCGCCTTCGGTTCCACACTCTCGACTCGGCTCAGTTCTCGTCATCTTCAATCTCAAGACGCCCATCCGGACTACCTGAGAACCAACCTGCCAGACGAGTAGTTCCTCACCCAGGTTCTGGTTAGTCGTCACACCCGACTGCAACATTGTCAGACAAATCAGTGGTCACCAGCCTGGTTTAGTTATCCGTCCCAAGACGGCAATTCGACTCACTTTAGCGTCATTCGTTCCATCCGAGGCCCCGTCACACCCGAGTCACAACTCTGCAGGAAGCGCCCAGCTTACCTGCATATCGACCTGCATCTCTGGACTGTGCGTGAGAGAAGACAAAAGACAGATAGACTCTCTGAGCGTAGAGCCTAGAGTTACGACTGCCGACTATCTCCGTTTGGGCACTGTTCTGAACCTGTCTTTTACCCGACATCAGAGACGTTCTGCACACTTGTTACGAGTTTGTGGTAAACCCGTCCAGTACGGATATACGTTCCATCACACAAGCAAAGGTCGTTTAATCGCGGCCTAACACAAAGATTTACACGGCAGCAACGCCCAGCAGTACTTGATCGATCCCATCGGCGTCGGTGGTCCGTAAGGTCCGGTCGTTGATTTCTAGGTTCCATTTCCTTGGAGTCTAGAAAGTTGCTTGGTTGACCTCCTTTTGTGTGTGGTCTCCACGTTGTAGGAACAGTACTTTGGTACTTGCTACTTCTCGGTTCGCCAGCAGTCAGTTGTGTCTGCTATTACCGCTTGGTGTTCGAACTTCGCTCGGCCTTAGCGGAGAACAGGTCCCTGCCACTACCCGACCCCCTGCCCGCTTCACGGTTCGCCTACCTACCAAGTTAGAAGTATCTACTTTAAGGTAACCGTACCTTCCACGATATACCTTACGGAGAAAGGTACCTAGGTTTTCTGCCGTGCAGCCCAGGCCCCCGGAAGGTGCTATTATTACTCTTTCGTCACTGCCGCTGCATTGTTTTTTGCGACAATTAATTACCACCTAGCCGGCCATCGCTCACATTCCGGCCATTCACCCACCTCAACTCAACTCACCTTGGATCGGTTCGCGCGGTACAGAGTACTTCGCTCCTCCATCCATCACACCCATCCCCGATCCTCATCCACATCTCTCTCACTTTCCACGCCCCGTCGGCGGAGATACGGCAGTGCCACTATTCTTAACCATGTCGGGCTTCGTCTCCTCACCCACCGCCCTGCACCCCGCCCTCAGTAATCTGAATCCGCTTCCGCCGCCAGCGCCATTGTCACTGCAACAGCACCAGCCGTCCGCGTTGCCGTCCTCTTCGTTCTCTTCCGACCCCCATGGAGTTAAAACCTCGCTTTCCGACCGCCCCAAAAGCTCCAGTGCCAGTGTCAGCACCACTACCGCCCATGACCGACCTCTCTCTTCTTCCGCCTCCACCTCCAACTCCGTCTCCCATTTACACTCGCACTCACACTCGCACTCACTGTCACTGCATCGCAATGCTGGTCCGGTAGCAGAGGAGGAACCCTACGCTTGCCCCCAAGCCGGATTTCCCGCTACAGCTGCTGCAACACAAAACCCCTCGTCCTCGATAAGAAGAAGCTCTCTATCAATAACCTCTACCGCCGCCTATCCCGAGCTGCTCCCGCCTCCTCTGTCCAAGTCCGCCAACGCCAACGCCAGCGCTGCCGCCCATCCTCCCAAGGGCCATCGCCGCGCACCTTCTCACGAAGTTCCCCGCCAGACTATTATGAAAGCCTTGGCCTCGGTTGTTCGCAGAAATAAACCCGAAGCCCTCTCTCTTACCGGCATGTTGTCCCAACAAGGCGGTTGCGATAACCGCCCCGCCACTTCTTCATCCCAGAAGCTGGCCGACGCCCTGAACGAGCTGGCCAACCGGAGCATGACCCCCACCACCGCCCTGCCCTCCTTGCAGTCCCCTTGCTTCTATCACAACCGATTTGATGATGCCGTCAACATCGACAAGGTTCTCGAGGAGATCAAGAATGACGACTGCATGTCCCACTCTAGGCTCGTACAGACAGCCACCGGCGTCCGCGAGGTCTCCAAGCAGTTGCAACGCCGTCCCATCAAGCGCGCTGTCCGCAATGTCATGATTGTCACCAAAGCTCGCGATAACCAGCTCGTCTACTTGACCCGCGAACTCGCTACTTGGTTGCTTCGCACTCCGAGGTATGGTGCCAACGTTGGCGTCAACGTTTATGTGGACGCCAAGCTCCGCAACTCTCGACGCTTCGATGCCAATGGCATCGTCGCAGAGAACCCTGCATACCAGGATATGCTCAAGTACTGGACGCCTGATTTGTGCTGGAGCCAGCCTGAGAAGTTCGACCTTGTCCTCACCCTCGGCGGTGACGGAACCGTTCTCTTCACGTCATGGCTGTTCCAGCGCATCGTGCCCCCCGTTCTGTCCTTCAGCCTGGGCAGTCTCGGCTTCCTGACGAGCTTCGAATTCGAAAAGTACACGCAGCACCTGGACCGGATCATGGGCGACGAGGGCATGCGTGTCAACTTGCGCATGCGCTTCACTTGCACCGTCTACCGTGACGGCACTCTTGGCCAAGAGGCTGAGGAAGGAGAGCAATTCGAGGTTCTCAACGAACTTGTCATTGATCGAGGCCCGTCCCCATATGTTTCGAACCTGGAACTTTACGGCGATGACGAGCTCCTTACTGTGGTGCAGGCCGATGGCTGCATTTTCTCAACTCCGACAGGATCGACCGCTTACTCACTTTCGGCTGGAGGTTCCTTGGTACACCCCGACATCCCAGCTATCCTTCTGACACCCATCTGCCCGCATACCCTCTCATTCCGCCCGATGGTTCTCTCTGACACGATGCTCCTCCGTGTGTCGGTGCCACGTAACTCTCGCGCAACTGCATACTGCGCCTTTGATGGCAAGGGTCGTGTTGAGTTGAAGCAAGGAGACTATGTTACCATCACTGCCTCACAATATCCATTCCCTACGGTTGTCCGAACTCAGACGGAGTGGTTCGACAGTGTTTCCCGCACTCTTCGCTGGAACACGCGCGCCGCGACGCAAAAGGGATTCGACCCCTCTGCTAGTGGCAGCCTCTGCCCGTCTGAGGACGGCAAGGATGATGATCCGGAGTGGGATATTGACACCGACTCGGCCTGCTACGCTAGCGAGGACGGGAGCATCAGTGCGAGTCCCTTGAGAAGGCAGATGAGTCTGCTGGGCATGTGATTAACGGCCGTTTGTTTATTCATTAGAGACAGAGCATCATGATTCCCACCTTTCTTCACAATCACAAAACAGGCGGCTCAGCTACGCAAAGCAGCACGCTCTGTTTTGTTCGACTATTCTGTACTACACCTCCGCATTTCACTTTACTAGCGAGGGAGGGTGGGCTAGACTTAGATGCTTTGGCATCTTTATTTGTTTGTTTCATAGACTTGAGCGATTTCGCAAGGCTAAAGAAAGAAAGAAAGCATGGGATGCACACTGTTGTGTGTGCGGTGGATGGACAGACTCAGACCCGACATGCTCGCATGAGCAGTGTTCTCTAACACCACCAGAAGACGAAGGGGATAATACTGGCATTGGCATTGGCACTGGCACGGTATATACTTGCATGAGGTAGCTGTCGTGTGCGCAGGCCAACACACCCGCCGTCCTCTCCTTTTGAACAAAAAGAGGGGAGAAAAGGACGTCGATCCTCATGCGACACACGGATACATAGTCTCGACAGAGAAAAAGAGAAATAGAAACAAAGAGAGTGACATCAAAATCTCACCAGCATCTGCAATTGGTGGTGGATCCGACTGGCAGATGTTGTTACATACCAAACAACTTTTGCCACCAACATGAACATATATCCCTCATGCCCTGTGCCTGACCGAAGCCAACTATCTGCATCTATTCCTACCAAACAAGGAGCATATGTAATCTTGACATTCTGCAATAGCGAGCATGGGGTCTGTTTCTGGGGGAGCATGATTGTGCGGGTTATTATATGAGAGAATTCAGAGTTCGTACCGATGTAAACAACAAGAAGACGACGGCGCCTTGGTTTACACCTTTGTTCACACAAAGTAACACAGACGCCAATTAATACTACTCGGTCACCGAAGCCAAGGAGGCACGTCAATTTTGTTGTTGTTTTTTGTTTCATTGCTCTTTTTATGACTTGTTTCGCCGTGGCGCCTTTCAGGCTTGGCCAGAACATAAACATTGCACACGTACAACCGACTTTGCAGAGCCATATCTACCACCAAATTCTAAGACGCCGTTTGCTTGTTGTAATTCCAAGCCCTAACACAACACCAACACATGAGGATAAAGACAATACTCCTCAACTGATTCGCAATGCGACATTTGAGGGCGAGAGCTAGGTTCCATCATGTCGGTCGTGGCTCCTGCAGGAGACGACACGAGTATCAAACTTCCGCAAGCGATAGAGAGCATGACCGGCGCATCCGTCTCTGAATTTGCCGGACCACCAGCCGCTGCTTCCTGTGTCTTTCTGTGTCGCAACTTGCTTGACGAGGGGGCCACTGCCCATGCTGTTGGACTCGCATCTGCCCGTTTCTGCCACGGAGCCGACTGAGTGTCCACAAGGGGGCGCAACAAAGACACTCCCTTTTTGTGCGAATTACTCCCGACGAAGGTGTCAAGCCGCCTGCCTCCACGCCAAGTTTCTACCTCCAGGCACCTTGGCTGAGAGACAACAGACCTGCAATGCAATCCATGTCGCCCTTCTTGCTCGGGCTCACATCGGCGCCACGCATGAAACTCTCCACCTCGTCCGCGCCCTTTGGCGTAGGTGAGCTTGAGCTCTGCCCATCCTCGAAAATTGTGACATATTTTCCGGATCCTCGGCGCCCCATAGCAGGCATGGTTCTGGCGCGGCTACTGCTAAATATGGCAGGCCCAGGATGGTCCTGTAAGGTACGCCCTGTTCGTCTCGCATTGTTTTTGGCGTCAATAATAGCCGGCAAGGGTCTTCGATCATTGATTGGCGGCAACCGACGCATGTTGCCTTCGTCCTCTGGTCCCCAATTCTCCTTATCAGAATCACCCGATGGAGATATCAGCATATCCACCTTGACCTTGTCACCCAGGCTTTTTTCTTCACTTGGTTGAGATACGGACTCCTCGTCATCCGCGAGTGCTGTTTGCATTCTAGCCATGCTTGAAGATGTGCGACAAAGCTTGGGCTTCTTAGCCTGTTGAGGTCGAGAAGCCGGCCTACTTGCAGGGCAGTTCCGTTTGGAGCTGTTGTTCTGAAGAACGCCGCTGGTTGAGCGGAGGAGGCTGATGGCAGCGACAGCAGAGCCATTAGACTCGTCTTCAGCTTGCGTCGTGAGCTCGTCACGAGAATCAGCGTCACAGCACAGCTCCCACGCATGAGCGTCACGAGATCTGCCTCGTCCCAGCGCCGGTGGCAGCGAGTCAGTGAGGGCCGTTATGGGTGGTAGAGTCACGCTAGGGAGGGCGCTGTGACTGCGCTGGAGCGGTCGAGCTATTTTGGGCTGAGGTAAGGCTGCCAAATCCGAAAACAGCTTCGTAGGCTGAAAGCGAGGGGGCGAGTTCTCATTAGAGACAAGCTCAGCTTTGCCTTCCAGAGAAAGCGACAACCGCACTTGTGATTGCTGCGACGATTGAGGAGAGGGTAGAGTTTGTGATCCATGTGCAGGCGGTGAGCAAGACGCAGGTGTAAACAGATCGGATCTGCATAATTTGTTAGCACAAATACGGTGGAGAATGAATAGAGCGAGACATACTTGGGGGTCTCGTCAACGCTGCGGTTGAGCGTTGAAGGGGTTGAAAAAGCACTTGATGGGTTCCAATGAGATGATGTGAAGAACCCAACAGAGTTTGAAAAGGAAAATGAGCCTGTTGAGTGAGGCTGAGACGAGGACGCTGTGACTTGGGATAATGGCGTCTCTGAGGCCGTCGCCTCAGGACCGCCACTTAGAATGGACGGTGTTGCCTGTTGAGGCTGCTCATCGGTCTCGTCTCCTCGCAGGCGTATAGCCTTGACCGGAGTCTCCGCAGGCATGACAGCGTTGACGGGTGCCGTCTCCACCACTGGCGATGTCTTTTCTTCCGGCAGGGAAGAGGTGTAGGCTACTGGATCCGAAGAGAGTATCTGCATGCCACCGTAGCGAAGAGCAGCAATCTCCTGGGCGGAGAGGGGCCGCGATTTGCGCCTGTCATTCTGTCGACGATTTTGGAACCATATCTGCACGCCTGCGATCAGCACCAAGCGCGACGGTTGTCGTACCGGCAAAGTTATCAAATACCTGAACCTCCTTTTCGTTGAGAGAAACGCGCTTCACGATGTCTAGGCGCGCTGCCTTGTCTGGTTTCGGGTTCGCAACATAGGCAGCCTCAAGTATCGACTTGTCTTTGGCACTACAGAAGTCACGAGAGTCAGTGGCTGCAGCACAAGAACGCGTAGCAATTGGGGCCAAAAGCAACAACGTACGCAGTTCTCTTCCTCTTTCCCTTTGGGTGACGCTCTGAGTCGGGATTTGACACTTCTGTCTTGACAGACGAAGATGGCGCGAAGTCGGGAGTTTCTGTTCCAGTAGCAGCAGGCTGTCTTGTAGGAGTCTGCGCGGGTTGATCTGTTCGGAAGGAGGATTCGCGTGGAGACGGGGAAGACGAGGACGGCGGTGCTACAACCAAGGCTTGAGAGGAGACGTCGGAGACAGACATGGCGGCGTTTGAAGCTATGAGTAGTAAACGACAGTCATGATCTGGGACCGATGCAATTGAACGAGTCGCGAGCCGGGGGCGATGGTAGCGAGCGTGCACTCCAGGAAGAGTAGACGAGACACACGAGACAGGCGTGATAATAAAGTGAATTGAAGATAATCGTAGGACTGCAAGCAAAACAAAGTTGGGAGGAGAGCAAGGTAAAGAGGAAGAATGACGAAGAGAGACTCCCAGGAACGGACGAGGTGGGGAAGCGAGAGTGTCGAGACACACGAGGCGCGGTTATTCGTCGCAATTAAGGTCAGGTACGGTCCAGGTGAGTTGTGGTGCCTCGCATATGGGTTTTGGTGTTGAACACGGCGCGTCTGAGAACCCAACTAGGGAAAGGCACTTACACGCTAGGGACGTGGATAGTGGAGTTGCAGTACCCGGCCAGGGTACCGTAGGTACTGGGCTTGGTCTGAAGACCAACTCAGAGCAGTGCTATAAAAGTCTTTCAAAAATCGACATTGAGCGAGCGTTTATGGAACATTTCACTGTAGATTCCAGAAAACTCACAATGACGCGTAATACAAGTTGTATCTGATCGCAAGCGTGGCATGAAGTATTTGACTGAATAGCAAGTTATAATCATCTACGGAGTACAGTACCTCCAAGCCTACCAGGTCAGGTACCACACAACAGCGCGATCGCGGCACGGATCCGCAGACCCACCGAGTCACCTCCACGTCTGTTTTTATGTGCTTTACCTTGCAACAATGGTTGCGCATGAGCATCAGGTCTGGCATGCTTCTATTCACATTTCGTAGGCCTCATTTTCCATGGCCGGATGAATGCGGTGCAGACAGCCTGTAAGCCAATCCGAGTTCACATTTACCTGGATTAGGCAATGTCGTTCGCCAGCCATGATCAATGCATGCATTTACTTTTGATCATCTCTCCATGTTGACACCCCAAGGTCGGTTGTTGCTTATTGACTTTAGCACAAATTTACGCGCTCAATGTAGTTACCTAGCTTCTGCAAATTAGTGGCATAAGGTGAGGTACGAATAGTCTACGCATAAAAGGCTCGGACCAGTCACGTCGCGCGTCTGTTTTCAATTGGGAAATAAAACAAAAACAGTCTACTTTCCATCACCAGGGGCTACATACAACCACAAGATTGAAGACAGACCCTAATAATACCTTAATCATCTGCAGTCCGCCTGAAAATTACCAGCACGCATCGAACTCTGCTGGTCTTACTGTTGACGACCTGGCTGACGGATAATTCTAAATCAACCCACTTGCTCTCTCATCTGACTGTGCTTCTCCTTATTTTCTGGAGTTGGCATGCTTTTGGTCTAGTGCCTCGCTTGACGAATAACGCGCGTATGCGTATAAGTCTGGCTCGCGCGCTGTAGCAAAGCTGCTCGTGGGATACCTATTATTAAGGTCATGTGGCCAAATTGGTCAATCGTATTCCAAAAGTGAAGGAGAGATTAGCTACATGCTGCATTCTTGAGATGTTGCTCTTCATCATTTTTACGGGCTATCACCCGCGTGCGAAACGCCCCGGTTCAACCTGAATTCGATACTATGCTTTCGTTGGTACTAAGACGCGAAAGGCAACTGGTCGTCGCTTGTGCGTGGTATTCGACCCCAGACCATCCCTCATCCGTGTACCCACCCTGCCGCATCTGACCGAGTCTGCTCGGGGATCTTGGAGCCTGGCGCGAATGCGAATTGGTACTTGAAGGCTGGAACAATCTATATACGGGACAAACTTGATTGAGTACGGAATAAGCCTGTCCACCGGCACGTACAAAAAGAAGAAGAAAAAAACGGCCTACCTTGCCCTTCGAGAAATCCAGTAGACCCAGTGACACGCGTGGCAATTGGCACATAAGCCGCACTCAGCAAACGAATCTCCATTACAATCCATATTCTCTTATGTCCCGCTAGCAATTCTCGGTTCGTCCACCGAACACCAGGGCAAAGATCCGTACTATCAGAGATTAACACCCAGCCACCCCCCGACAAACAGACAACCAGACGCGTCGCTGGATCCCAGGTATATCTGGCAGACTAGCACTCCTGTTTCTTTGGTAGACCAAAAGCGCGTTCTGAGAAGGGAACAGGGGGTATGCGCTGACTTTGATAGAGTACCGTGTACATTCAGAGGAGGTTGGTGCCCATAAGAGGAGACCACCCCGGACCCTCGAAAAGACATGCCTAAGTCTGGTGCAAGAATAGTACTTGCAGCCGCAATACAGAGACATCTGTGCAAATGCTCAATCTCTGCTCTCAAGTCAAGCTTCACCTGCTAAGTTACTCCGTACACCGATGATCATGTCTCCAACAACTGAGGTGTGTTCTACTGAAAGGTCAAAAAGCAGGGGTTTCCATAGAAGTTCTTCGCGTCTGCACCACGTTCAAGGATGCAGACGTTTGAACGAATTACACAGGATGAGTAACTCTTCCACCTCTCACCGACACTCACCAAAATGCAAGGGACGGTACACCGAAATCTGGACCCAGGACTTCCATGAACTTCCATTTAGGTATCTCATTCGGTCTCATTCGTAAAATGTGTCCGTCACATTACCGTCTAAGGTGCTACTTAATTTTGTGCCACTGATGCGCCTTTCGAGATATCTGAAATCCACTTGATATCTCTCACTTATGATATCATGTCACGTAGCGTGGTTGAGTTGCATGTTGTGGTCCTGGCGAGACCGTTTGTCCATTTCTCTAGACTCCACCTGCCTTTGCGATCTTTCTCCCTCTCGCCTTGTCTGTCTGTCTGTCTGTCTGCCTGCCCGATCATGCCTAGCTAACCGTTGAATTGCTATCTAATTAAATGCATTGCGCTGTCTGTCGAGGTACGGACACGCATAGTAGAGAAGAGGACGAGCGGAACCCGAGACACCTTGGTGGAAATGTAAGGACTCAGTGTTCATCTTGCAAGGCGTCAAACTACTCAAAGTATGCTGGTCGTCTCGCAGCAAATGTAAAACCCTCCATCCAGCTCCGAGTCTACCATACGAACCGGCCGTGCCGTCTTCTACCATAATGATCGTGACCAGCTAATGCCGGTCTGCGCCAGAGAATTTCGGTTCACGACGTCCTTTCAACCGTTCCACCGCGTTGGAATCATGTCCATGCCGCGTCTCTATCTTTACAAGTCATCGTCCGAAAGTTCACCGGGCAAAGGCATGTTGGAAGCCTCAGCCATCTCCTGGCGGTACTGCTCGAGGAGCTTCTCGTCGACCTGAGCGGTGGGGGGAGCGAGAGCCGGTGCAGCAACGAATTCCTGTGGAGCAGTTAGCATTGATATTTGCGAGGCAGAAACTGGTGCAGTGCATCGATCGGGAGCGTACCAAAGCGGGGTTGCCGACAAGCTTGCGTGCAAGCCAGAGGAAAGGCTTCTCGAAGTTGTAGTTGGACTTGGCAGAGATATCATAGTACTGGAGGTTCTTCTTGCGGTGGAAGGTAATGGTCTTGGCCTTGACCTTGCGCTCCTTCACGTCGACCTTGTTGCCGCAGAGAACGATGGGGATGTTCTCGCAAACACGGACGAGGTCACCTAGATAGTCCTTGTTAGTCGGGCTGATCATTTGGGGTCAAGGGTAAGGAATCGAGTCATGTCGATCCAATGGGTGCCACGTACGGTGCCAGTTGGGGACGTTCTTGTAGGTAATACGGGAGGTGACATCGAACATGATGATACCGCACTGGCCGTTAATGTAGTAACCATCACGGAGACCACCGAACTTCTCCTGGCCGGCGGTATCCCAAACATCGAACTGAATCTGACCAAAGTTCTGCGCGCGCTGAGTTAGAGACCGGTGACCGATGTTGTAAGGGAACCAAATCGATGGGAGTCGCTTACCGTGCTGAAACCAAGAGGATGGACTTCGACACCAAGAGTGGCCATGTACTTCTTCTCGAACTCACCAGTCAAGTGACGCTTGACGAAGGTGGTCTACAGCGTAACATATTGTTAGCAACGCGATCAAATGGATGGGGGAAGCAGAAGGGAATGCCATCGGCTCAAGTCGAGGGGTCGATGTTGGCAAAAAGGGCAAACGCCGTTGTCGTGCGCAAGCTCGATAAGGGCCGTGGATGAAGAGGGAGCGTTATATTCACCTTTCCGGTACCGCCATCGCCGACAAGGACGAGCTTGAAGGTAGGAGTCTGGGTTTCGGCCATGTTTGCGATCGGTGAAGGAATCGGTTCGGTGCGAGTTAATTGTAAACAAGCGGGGCTGATCGCGAGGTTAGCAGCTGGCGCAAAGCAGAAGAAAGCGGCAAGATGGAGATATCTGTCAACGTGAAGGCGGGAACCAGCGTCGGCAAGGGCGCGGAGTAGATGGAATTCGTACCGGAGAGAGAGATGGGTGGTGGGCTGTAAACTTTTCGACGTGTGGAAATCGTCACCGACTGATCGACTTTAGGGGGGGTTATGTTTTTGAGGATGGCGGGGGAGCTTGCAAGGAAGCCGTAGTTCTTAAGCGAAAAATTCAGTCAGGCAGGCCAACGAAGTCGGGTAGGCACGATTGGGCTAGGCAAGGGTCACGTGCGGCGCTGTCTCGTCATAGCGGGGTCCCTTCTCAATGGGCGGCGGCAGGTACGTCTCTTTCCATTTGTTCTTTCCCCGAGCCGTTTCCATTTGGACTGGGTGACTGGATGTTTCCTTGCCTCCTTCAGCAACAAGTTAGGTTCCTTTGCTTCAGGTACTTAAATGTTACGAACCTTCGCCGGCAGACCGCTCTCATTAATAATATCCAAGGTAAGGAATTTTATCCAGTTTGACGGCGCACGCATCCTTTACGCGCTCGACAAGTCTCATGCCCGTATCATAGAGACTACCAAAGTGATTTCGAGGTCCGCTTTTCCGTCACTGTTTAGGTTGTAGGAGAGCGGCGTGGGTGGTCAATCCAGACATAAGGTACGGCACCTTTGTTAGCCATCCATTGATTCTTCTTTCACGCCAGAACATTCAATCAAGATCTCACACCTCATGTTCTATTGCCAACAACATCCTTCGCCACACATATCGCGAAGCCCCTTAAGCATTCAACACAGGCATTTGTCCCATCAGGCCCCGACTTGCTTTGTAATCCAACCACCAGTCTGGCTATTTCTGATCCCTGCCTGCTCAGCCATGGCAATTGTCTGCCTAATGGTTCATTCAATGACTGCAGCCGGTGGCTTACACCAGGTACCCAGTGAATCTAGAAGTATACCGGGCCACGTGGAGTCGAGGCGTCCTCCTGCCAATCAATTAATTCTACCTTACCTTGCGGGCACCCAAGGCATGAGTGACTCTCACTGATCGAATTCTACAGCGCGAAATCTTAGACTTTTCAACGTGAATCTTTGTGTCTAATGTCAGCGACGTTGTCGCGAAACATGTACGCTATACACACGGCAGTTCCAGATCCTCCTATGGCCCCCGCAGCTGAAGCAATTTATTCCTCTCTCACAAAGGTAGGATGTGGCAGCCCAGCAAACCTCTGCCACCCCAGTTACGTCTCGGAGTCAGTGTTACGTGCAGCTCCTCCCGCGCCCCTTGGCTAGATCGAGATACCCTAACCAGTACAGGTCGCTTTGTCTGGTTAATATCATGTCCACACAAGTGATGGGGAACAGTCAACTTACACCTTCATTCCCTTGCACGCATTCAGCCACCTTCTTGAGGTTGTCGTGGTTTGAGCTGTTGACGTAGCCAAATATGCGAATTTGGTCATTTGGCTTCAGGCCAGCTAATTCGGCTGGGCTTCCCGGAACCACAGTGTTGACCTTTGCGAAGGGCTCATCCAGCGGCTGGGATGCTGAATGATCTACCAGAGTATTGTTGGCATCCCCGGAGAGCGGAACTTCGGGCACCTCCTCTTCTTGCAAGCTGGCAAAGTGCTCATGGAGTTGTTTCTCAACCACGGCCATGAGCTCTTTGTAGTCATTGCGGAGGTGGATGATGCGGGCTCTGGTAGTACGCACTATTACAATCAGCAAGGTGCTAGGTCTCTGCTACCAGAGGAGAAACACCTTGGGCAATATCGAGATCGGCTCTTGGAAATCCGTCTTGAGTTGTTAGAGGTGTATTCATGTCAACCCCGTGCTGGCTCGCCAATCAGCTGAATACTCGCTTCTCCATGTTCGTCTCGGAACACTGGAGCAGGGAATCTTGAAATCACAAACAGAGTCGAGGACTGCACCCAGAGCTTTCAATTCAGCCTCCATGTTTTCCTTCTTCTTCTGTAGCTCGGCAAAAGAGAGGCGACCAAGGTCACCGTTCATCGACGTATTGCTGGCTGGGCCCGAGGGCACGGTTGGAGCGTGTATGTTGTCCATCCTGAGGGGCAATCCCATCGTTGATCGAATGGGCTGATAGAAATGCGAGGGGGCTTAATTGCGATGATGATTCTGTTCCTGACTTCCTGCAGTGATGGCGGACGACTTCGTTCATGTCCCCAGTATTTGGACTGGAATTGATGTCGGTGGACCTCAACTTCAACGTTCTAAGGTAGGTTGGGGTATTGCATCGACACAGAAGACATTGTAAGCCCCGCGCCCCAAATACGCAGCGTCATGGGCACCTGCCTAGCAAGTCGGGTACCGTAGATGCTTAGGTAGGTGCCAGGGGTGCTTGAGGTACCTGCCAGCCTTTCCTTCATTGAACGTGCCTACGGCGTACCTAGGTAGGAGTGTTAGTGTACCCAGCACTGTGACTCCCCATGCGCTGACTAACTCTCCAGGTCTGGTTGGAGCCTAAAGTTACTGCTGGCACCTGAGGCACAAGATGCGGTCTTACTGGAACCCGACGCGTCCACCTAGTGTCCCGATCCAGCTCCGGCGCCAGCTCTGGTTCAACCCCAGCCAGCTCCCGATCTTCTGCTGGACTTGTCCTTGGATCGACGTCACAGCATCCATTTTGTCCTTCCTCCATCTTCTTACCCCATCCGCTCGTTGCCTCTCCGATCATCATGGCGACCGGTGTCGACGCAAAGCTTCTGAAGTCCACCAAATTCCCTCCGGAATTCAATCGAAAGGTTGACATGCAAAAAGTCAACCTTCAGGTGATGAAAAAGCACGAGCCTCGCCTTCTATTATCAGTCAATTGCTAACTGATCTTTTCTCAGGTGGATAGCCAGCAAAATTTCCGACATTCTGGGAAGCGAAGACGACGTTGTCATCGAGCTTTGTTTCAACCTGATCGAAGGGCCCCGTTTTGTCAGTACTGTCTGTCTCAACCGATTCTCGCGCTTGTCTTCTGACTTCCCTCCAGCCAGATATTAAAGCTTTACAAATACAGCTCACGGGTTTCTTGGATAAGGATACGGCGCCATTCTGCAAGGAACTATGGAAATTATTCTTGAGTGCCCAAACAAGTCCTCAGGGTGTACCCAAGGAACTTCTCGAGGCCAAGAAGCTGGAGTTGATACAAGAAAAGGTACGTACTAGCTTCACCCAAAGCCAAGGACAGTCACTGACATAGACCAGATGGAAGCCGACCGCGCCGCAGACGAGGCACGACGCCGCCGAGGCGATATCGACAGGCGTCAACAAGATGGCCCGGCACCGAGAGATAGGGATCGCGGTGAACGCGGACGCGGCCGCGGCGGCGGGGATATGTGGCGCGGGCGCAACAATGATAGGGACTACGACCAAAGAGGTAGACACGGAGGACGGTTCAGTGGCAACAGGTCGCGCTCACCGGCTGCGAGGAACCGTGATCAGAGGGACAGAGGCTCATTCCGTGGGTCTACTAGAGACAGCTATGTCCCAAGGAATCGCGGTCCTGGTAGCCGAGTATCTGGCCGCCGTCGCAACAACACGCGCTCTCTCTCTCCGGCATCCGCCACCTCACGGTCGCGCAGCCCTGATCGCAAGCGAGACTCGAGCCGTGGGTCACCTCCGCCCCCCGCCCGACGAACTCGTCGAGAACGCAGTGAATCTACCCCCAGGCCTACGAGAAATCGATCGGTGTCGCCGCGAAGGAGCCAGGGTAATTATCGCGAATCACGAAGGAAAAGGAGATCTTCACGAAGCCCTTCAACGCCCTCAACATCGCCTGATAAACGGGCGGCTGCAAAGCGCCGCAGATACTCCTCATCACGGAGTCGTTCACCAGGCCGTGAGAGACGATCTCGCAGTAGAAGCTCGAACTCAGCCTCATCTCGAAGTTCTAGATCCCGCAGCCGTAGCTCTACGCGTCGAACCTCTCGAGGACGTGCAAGTCCGAGATCTCGAAGCAGTCCCCGACATCGCCACGCGAGTAGCGTCTCTCGCTCTCCAGACCCCCGCGGCCGCGGAGGAACGGCCCATGACATGAACGAGACCGATCAAGAGGGCAGAAGAGGCCAGGGAGGGGATGAGGCAAAAGGAAGCGGAAGACGCAAATCGTAGCCTCGCTGCATGGAGATCGGCTGATCACTCTGACTCCCAAACCTTGTAGAACTTGAAAACAGGCCGATTCCTGCGTCACAAGATGATAGGTGGGTGGCGACCTTGGGAACGGCCACCGACAACTGAACCAAGTCTTACTAATCTGACACTGGCACCATGCAGATGCAACATTGCCAGGTCTTCTAGCGGCGTTGGTGAAGGCAGAAGATCACGGGAGAATGATAAAACAAACAAGAGACGCTAAGCTCGCAATTCGCCTCATTCGCAAACGGCTAAGGCTAATCGTCTAAAAAGTTTTGCTGCAAACCACCTCACACAAACATACGAGCTCACTGGTCAAGGGTGTGGAGGGTCTCAGGCGAAGCGATTCGCTTAATTTGGTACGTTCACTGTATCTTCTAGGCATAAGGCACCCGAGGTATTCTGCGTACCTCTTCTATGGTGGCTGTTTACACAGTTCGGTCTTCACTACCTTGCCTTTCTTTTGCCCAACAAATCACCAAGCATGGTACGACACCGCCATGATTATAATTCGCTATGTCGCCTTCCGTGTACGATCCAAAGTCAAGTACTGGACATGGGAAAATAACCAGACTCAAGTCGGTGATGAAGACGCATGATCATCCCCATCAAACTAGTCTGCAGTCTTAAGACAGATTTCTCTCCTACGAGAGAGACATAGGAATTGATTATGATGCGTTTGCAATACCACTGAGTGTCTGTGACATTGGCCCTTCGTTCGTGATGAGGACGTACATTTGTAGCCATGCCAAACGCCAAGCGAACTTCCGATCCTCGGTCGTGGACCGCATACACCGTTTCCAGACGCGCAAGAGTGAATACAGCCGTCGAGAAAATCATCTGGGCTAGAAAGTGAAATCTAATAGAAATACTGTGATTCCGCATCTTGGGCAAACTCAGATAGCTACCTCCGCGGAAGCACTTACGTCAAGGTACGGTGGTAGAGGTAAGGTACCTACCTAGGTTGAGCATGATCCGACTGGGTACCTAAGGTAGGTCTCCACTCATAGACGGCGCCCTCCACCCGACTGTGGCTCCGCGGCTCTGTGGCTCCGTGGCTCCGAGCTTCCATTGGCAACTGCCTACAACCCGATCTTGAACCGTCACTCCAATGCATCTCATCAGCCATTTCAACTTACTATCAACGCGTCCCGTCACGTCGGTCAGCCTGCACGCCCATCGCTCTTCCCTCAAATCATGTTATGCGAACTGAACGAGTAGCCGTGGCTCTTTTTCTTTCCTTACTCCCAAGCGTTTGTGTCCGCTCACGTCTGACAATCCTTGTTTGGAGTGATCTCCAGGGAAAGGACTGTAGGTCTGGAGGCTTCTTTGTCCCCAACGTTCATTACTATTCCCAGACTGCACGAGAGCCATCTCACCATTATCTCTCTCTCAAACCTGCAAAACCTTGGAGTTTCAATGATGATCATTGTTTCCTCTGGCAGACGGCTTTTGATTCTACTCCGAGACGCAACGAATTGACAATAGAACATTCGTTACGTGACCCTCAAACTATCACGGTTTTCAGATCTGACAAGTGTACAAGCTCTCCAATCTCTCCCAAACCCTTTCTACTCTACCTCTCACGGTTGCTATTGGCAATCCAATCCACCATATCTTTTCTTTTCTATTCTGCGTTCTGGCTGGGGTGTCTCATCCCCAAGAGAGGGTGCAATGGAGCTTTCCCCATTGCCTCACAGTCCAGCCGAAGACGATGGCAATACTGCTTCATCTCAGGCCGGTGCATCTTCAGACGATGTGAAGTTCTTCACAACGAGGAACAATTGTGCCTCTAGTGTCAATACATCCGACCAAGCCGTCATGAGCTTGCAGGATCAGTCGAGAAGGGACAACAAACGAAAGACTGCTCATAGCCTTGTGGAAGCCAGTGATACTAGCCAAGACCAAGGCACGTCGAAGAGGCTGAAGCTTGAGGCTACGAGGAGCAAGTCGTCTCAGTTGCCCGGGGACAGATCACTTCTTCCCGCTGGAATATGGCATCGAGTTTTCGCGTTTCTTTCACCTAGGAGCTTGGGTGCCCTGCTACGAGTCAACAAGCTTTTCAACGGGTATCTTGATTCTTACTCCGCTTTCGGCAACACTGCTCTTTACCCGGAAAATGCGAACCTCTTCAAGCCAATGAAACCAGACACAGTCTGGCAACATTCAAGGAGACTGCACTATCCCAGGATGCCCTCCCCGCTGAGGAATCGGACTGAACTCGATATGTGGCGGCTATGCTGCACCAAAACCTGTCAATATTGTGGTGTTACAAAGCCGATTGATCAACAACAAGAGAATGCTGATCTCTGGCATCCAGGGCCTGGAGTGCATGGTCTGGCAACCGTATTTGCATTTGGCATCACCTGTTGCGGTCCCTGTCTTTTGAAGCATTCTGTGAAGGTCTGTTTGCTACTTGGATCTCGTCATCTTTCGTTTCGAAACTAAACATATCATAGGAGATCGACCTGTTACTTTCTTCCACAACCCCATCATCCCTCATCCCAGCACTTGCCTTTGTCTTCGTCACACCCGAACTGCAGGTCATCCCATCAAGCATCTTGGAAACCAACGCAGGCGACAACAAGCTGGAAACTACCAAATTATACTCAGTCTCCAGCATCACTGCCGCCAAGGAAGAGCTAAACGTGGTTCAGAGCCTTGGAACAGCAGCTGTCGAAGAGTGGCTAAAGGGTCTAGGCGCCCAGGGCAAAGACCTTAGAATTGATACATCACGATGGGAGAAGTGGGCCGCGACTGGCGGTCTGGCGCAGATGTGCCAGAGCGTGCAAACTCTGGAGAACGGTAGTATCGATGAACTGATGCCAGACCGAGATCACGAACCACGAAAGACCCCTCAAGTTTCTTTAGAAGAACGATATTCCGAAGCTTGCAGTAGGCCAGACAAGACTCAGGAAGAGGCTGCTGCACAGAAAGCATTACGACGTGCTGAAATTGAGCGACGCGCAATGTTACTCGACCCTCCTCTGCCACCCAACGTTGTTGTTCACATGCCTTCCTTTCAAGCAGCCATACAAATCACGGCCGCCTTGGATGAGAATGCGTGGAATACGCTGAAGCCCGAATTGCTGTCTCAACGAGCCGATGCCGAGAGAAACATCAACAGGGGTCCTACTGAATCTCGGGGCACCAGCATTGAAACGAAGGTCGAGACAACAAGAGAAGTTACAGATCAAGACTGGGATGATATCCAAGGCCCGGTACGCGCGCGAATGTCAAAATATGCCGACGAGATCATTCGCGGTAGCTGGAATAAGGGTCGCAAAGTCAACAAGGAGAATAGCCCACGTTTTGCAGCCGGGGTCCTCCTATCAGTGCGGTCAAGATTCTACGCTGATGTTGCGAAAGACGCTGCGGATGCTATCGCAGCTGGACGGCGGCCTGTTGTCGACCCCCAAGATGGTCCTTTTACACAGAAGCTCACGCTGGAGAACATGAAGTGGGTATTTGATATGAAGATCAAACAGCATACCGAGTCGCATAGGAAGGAGTTGTTTCTTTGCAGCGGTTGCGAAAGCCATAGGTTCTACGGATTCGAGGGGGTCATACAACACTATGCCGCAAAGCATACCAAAGCTCTCAGTCTCGGCAACATTGTTGTTCACTGGAGAGCTGAGTGGCCAGAGCAGTCCATATTCAAACCCAACGGCCGATCGACCAAAGGTTCTCAGCAAGTCGCAGGAAAGGGAACCGCCCAAGGTCATGCAGCGACAGGACCCCGGCCACCTTACGGTCATGATACTCTTAGTCGGAGTGGCAGTCTCCTGCCTAGCCCTGTGTACCGTTTTCCTCCCGACCAAGTTCCGCCCCTTTGCTATCAAGCAACACAAGCCGGCCCGTACAATCCGTTATCAACCTACAGTACGGATGCTAGCACACCGCGTGCGCCCTATCCACCGCCGAAATTTGGACCGTCTGGCGCACCCCAATTCTATCCAGTGGTATCTTCTGGCTTTGGACCCATACCTCCTGGCCCCCAAGAGCAACCTCCGAACATGCTAGGAACACCATTTGTTGAGCAGCCGCATAGCACTCTTCCGCATCAAGGCAATCCTCAGCCACCGTCTGCTGCACCTCATGGAATGCCCTTAACGTCATCGTATACCACTCAGTTAGAAAACCTGGCCCGGATTGCGAGAGACATTTGGAACTCGCTTAGCACAACCAGGGATTTACCTGGGCCCTTGAGAGTATACATCACTATACACCATGTGGTCAAACGTTTCTGGCACAAATTTGGCGAGACTCCCTCGTTGCGAATGTTCAACGATGGATTATCGAATAACAAGGCTATGCGTCCGGTCCGCAATATCAACGGACTGAGGTGCAGATCTTGTACATTGGGTCTAGGGCCACCAGTTAATCCAGAACGCACCATGTTCTCTCTCCCGCAGCTTGTCAATCACTTCGAGAACCAACATGTCGGATTCCAGCAGGTGGGGCACAGGAGCGAACTAGGCCTCGATTGGACACAAGACATGATATTGATGCCGGATGCATCAGAAATTCCTGACTTGAAAGCCATTATTGGTAGCAAGGGACACAAGTTCAACCTCGTCAACGAAGCAATCCCTTGGGTCTTCAATAAGCCCAGCGGGCCTTCACAACAATCTGGAGCCGCGTGGCCTCTGGGCAGGGTGGTACAGCCCAGCGATTTAGATCGGGCCGTGGATGATACTTGGCACAATTACGCCACGCATACAGATGCTTCTAGTGATGAACGCACCCCCTGGCATGGTCCTGGAGCCATTCGAGAACCGCCTATCGTTGGTCAAGAGCAACAACGCCGAGACACGCAGCCCTCAACGGAAGATTATAATCGAAGATCCGTGGCACTCCCCTATAAGCCACTGATCACTTCTCATGAAGCACGGGACCTAGGACGGACCCTTCAGTCCTCAAACGTCGACCCTCGCCGACAAATGTCTTGGGGCGCTTCTATGACAGAGTTTGATCATAGGGGCAGCACCGTTTACTATGACAGTGGGCATCCTGCCGGTGGCAACAACAAAACAGATCATTACATGCCGTCAGACTACTTCTCAAACTGCACTTTAGCATTGGCTGACGAAAATCGCCATGGGTACCGTGAGCAAAGTCGAGCCCCTGACCGAGTCTTGGCCGAGTCTCGGTATGGGCATGGCAGCAGATATCCCGCAGAGGAAGAAGAGAGAGTAGTTCGTACGTTAGATCGTTCGAGGTTGGTTCGGCCACACCTGTCACTCGACGGAGAGCAACTGTTACCGCAGGACACAAGACCAGGCTCAGCAAGATGCGCCCCAATAATTGCTCATTCTTCAAGGGCTGTCGAGTTAGATTCTGCACGTCCGCCAGCAGGGGGTCCTGATGAATTTAGCTTGACTGCTGCTCTCGAGTCGCATCTTGCTCAAGATCGTGACGCTTTGTCTCAGATACCGAAGGCTGGGTTGTTGGAGCGTGAGGTAGCTCATCAAGAGCGCCGATCCACAGCGCACGACGCCTCCCCATCGGACTTTCCCAACTACCCTGAACGACGACACATGGAAGTAGAAGCTTTCGATGACGCTCGCCTTGGACCCTCCGCGCAATACATCGCAGAACCGCATGGAGCCCGCCACGCTGGGCATGTTTCTAAGGTGTCGACGTACTACCATGGCCCAGTAATGACTCAAAATTCAACTCGCAGCAGCGATCTCCGCAGCGCTACGCGCTACACGAGCACGACTCGCCCTCAGTCTGAAGGTTATGAGACTTATGAGATTGTACATGTACGAGATGCAGAGGGAGAGTACATCGTTCGTCGGCCGATTCTACGAGAGCGAGAACCGCACCGGGTATCGTACGAAGATGACACTCATATTCACCAGAACAGAGGATTATATGCACACCACAGGCACGATGCTATGTACGGCTCGATGGACCAGATTCCTGTTCCTGGCGAGCGGCGAGATGCTTTTCAAATGCGCGAAGCTTCTACTGCAGGAGCCCAGTTCAGGATTGCTCCGTCATTGTATGCAGAATATAACCCGAACAGCCCAGCACCCATGTCGGGCTCCGGAGCTGAGAGACCATCAGAATACTAGCTAGACGTTGTACTTCTTTGGTGGGATGGGAATAGCATAAGGATAAGGTAGCACAGTAGTCAGATGCAGCCGAATAGTACCATGCTTTACTTTTTTCCCTCTCGTACCGAATCTATCTCTCTATCCGAAAAAGGGTGGACACCAAGCCCGGCTATCTGTGATTGCTACGAATAAATGGGCAAGAATGTGTACGCGTGAGGCGAATTTCTCCAACTTCGCATTCACGTTCTTGGGTGCATTATAATGTACCCACGGCGGAATATTAGTCTGGCTTTATTGAAGTTGAGGATCTTCTATTACACACTTCTTCGGCACAAAAAGGTACATGATAGACACCCAGCAGACAGAGATGAGGTACAGCACAACGATCATGGCATCGTTTCTCAGACATCCATAAGCCTTTTCCGTCGGAAACGCCCCGTGACGTAGACCTCGCCTTTTATCCGCCTGACGAAACCAAGAGTGTACATCCGTGTGCGCGACACACACTGAGGAAGGAAGTGGGGAAGAAAGAGAGAGAAAAAGAGAGAGGGAGAGGCAGGGAGATACAGAGAGATAGAGAGGGTGTTAATGCAAACACGTGGCGCCGGTTTCGCCAAGATATGTTTCTTCTTTTCCAACACGTATCTATAACACTTCGCCGATGATCTTGGCTGCCTCCCTGTACGTCTGAAGCAGCTTCTCGCACTTCTCGCGCTCCTTCTTGACACCGTCGTCTTCGTACAGAAGTTCCTCAAACAGCGCCTCCTTGTACAGCTCGCTGACAAGTCGGTTTTGGACTACGTCTTTGCAGTGGTTCACCAACAGATGCATGACCGCCTTGGGAACTTGATCCGCAATCGACTCGCGCACAATGTTGAAGTAGGAAGAGATCAGTGCTCGGATAAGCTCTGTCTCCATGGCTTCCCGTTCTGTCATGGCTGGCTCGCCGCTAGCCGTGCCCTGGATATTGAATTAGTACTCATCAATGAGAAATAAAAGAGGACGGAGAAACCTACGAAGAGGGAGCCATAATCTATGGATTGCTGGGGCTTGCCAAATTCCAGCTCGTCCCGGGACGAAGATTGTGCTGGGGCACGCAAAGCCACTTTGTCCTCAGCTCGCCGGATGCTCTGTGAAAATGTGGGCTCGGAACTCTGGCTAACGTGCCGGGCGATGGAGGAGTTAGGCGATGATGCTGCCCCAATCGCAGAAGCACCGTCCTTGCCGAAGAAGTAGGTCAAGAAAGAGTCGCGCGCGCCGCCCAGGCCCTTATCATTGAATCTTGACGGAGAAGCTGACCTTGCCCCGTTGAGTGCCGCATTCAGACCGGCGGTGCCGTTCTCCCGTACACCAGGTGACAAGCTGCGCGCGCCCTTAGTTGCCTGCTTCCGAAGAGAATTGGATTCGGCCTTTTCGATGACAGCCGGCTCTTCCTCCTCGCCCTCGGGGCCTTCGGTGCCATTAGCGCCCAGCTCCTTAAGACGCCTCTTCTCCCGTCTTTCCCGTTCTTCCTGAATCAGACGCTTTCGCTCCCTCTCCTGTTTGTTGCTGACAACGTGACTCATGGCAGCGGCAGCACCCAGGAAGTTGGGATGGTTAGTGTTGATGTACGCTCTTTGAATCGAGATCAAAGACTCGACATAACCAGACGTCGGCCCTAAGCGTTCTCGTAGCAAGTCAGACACGACCTCAATCAGCTTAGCTTGCAGTCTCGGGTATCGAGACAGTTCAGTTGAGCCGCAGGTATGACAAATCTTGATGAGCTCCTCGTAAACAAGCTCTACACATCGCTGACTAGGAATCTCGAGAAGCTTGATCTGAGGCTTGACGAGAAGGTCAAAGGCCATTTCGGGTACGAATAGACTGGGACGGGGACCGGTGGAATTGCGAATGGCCGTTCGAATATCAAGGGCCGAAAGATTCGAAGTCGGGTCGATGGATTCTAGGGACATGCCAAAGACGGAGTTGAAGATGTAGTAAATACGAGCGCCGCCACAAAGCTCCTTAGTAGATATTTCAGTCGAGGTACCGTCAATGGATGAGATGAAAGACGTTGCAAAGCGTGTCATTTGCTGCAAGATGAGGGATCCACGGTGCTCCTTGCCGCTAAAGTGCATATCGCCATAGCTTGCCAGTTCTTGTTGAGTCTGTCCCATAAGAGTGTTGAGGCGAGCTTTGATATCCGGCATGCGCTCGCGAATGTGAGCCATCAGGGTCGTATTCAGCGTCTTGGCCAAGTAGTGAGTGCCGCATCGACTAGCAATGTTACGGTAGGCGGGGTGGTGTCTGAAGAACTCAGATTCAGCCTTGAGAGCCTCCTCCATGGGCTTAGCGCCCTGAATGTCCTGCTGCGAGCGGTTGACGACACCGATGAATCCAAGCTTCAAAGGGTACACACGGCCAGATAGGATATCCAACGCGTTCGTACCATGATCCATGAGGTCCACCTTGGTAAGCACGCCAATCGTCCTCCTACCAAGAGGGTCAACATGTCGTGCTAGTTTGAGAGCCTCCGAGTTCACAATATCAACATTGGCAGGAGATACGGCAAGGACAATACTGTTCGGCTTGGCAATGTACTCGGAGATGAGATTCCGCGTCTGCTTTTCGATGTCTGTAGGTTGATCGCCAATGGGAACCTAAGAGCTTGTGTTAGAGTATGCCAGGTATTTGATGCTGAGCACCGAGAAAGGCAAGCATGGCGGCATACCTTTGTGAGGCCGGGAAGATCAACGAGTGTCAGGTTGAGCACATGTGGCGAGTAGATCTTGAGGTTAATGGGCTGTCGGTTGATGCCTTTGTTGTTGCCCGCCACTCGTGCCGTCTCGTTTTCGATCTCGCGCTTTACATCCGAAAAGTCATTGAAGCGGCGGTTCGGAATATGGTGAAACTCGGCCCATTCAGACCGTCTGGCAACGTCGGGAGATTTGTAGGGGTCGGAGGAAGGGTCGAAGGCACTCTCGTCCTCGGATACGTTGATGAGTTGCAGGATCAGGGGTCGTCGAGTACAAATGCCACTGCCGCGGGGCAAAAAGTCACGACCGACAATGTTTTCGAGGACGGAGGATTTCCCGGCTGACTGTGAACCAACTACAACCTGCTCAAATGTTAGCGATTGGGCATATATATAGCTCATGCACCATAACTAGGCGACGTACAATCTGGGGGAGATCGAGCGAGTCGCTGCCAATAGTATTGAAGACCAGGTCTTGCAATTTGTTGACAGTGCCGAGAAGGTCGTCTCCGAGGGACGCCATGGTGATTGCGTGACGCTAGGAGGTAGATACTCCCACAAAATCGGATTGGAAGAGGTGGCGGTGGTGGTGGTGGTGGTGGTGAGGAGTGAAGCACCCGAGGATGTCGAGGAGAGCTTCAGGAGGCGAAATAGTAGAAGCTCCTTCACAGGGCGAAAGGCCAGGCCGAACGGGGAGTCTGCAGCGCAGGGCGACGCAAAACAAGGCAGGGCACCTAGTGCAGGTGAAGGGAGCAAGCGCAGGCTCGTCGGGAGTTGTCGACTGCCTCTGGAAGTTGAGGGCGAGGCAGATGATGGAGAAACAACAAAACTGAGAACGAAGCCCCTTCAGACGAGATGGGATTTTTGGGCGAAGGGGGGCTTTACTCAAGCCGATGCGCGTAGATGCTCTCCGGCGTGTCGTTCAATTTCGAGAATTCATGCGCGATCCACCATGTCGCCTACGCAGAAAGCTCCGACAAACGACAAGGCACGTAATGCTTAGGTCGAGACAGTGGAGGAGAATAGTTCCCTGTATTAGCTAATACACATCCATGGATCCGTTAGTCCCTGATACCTCAGGCCCAGTTACATCACTATCAGTACCTACTCCGTACAAGCCAGCATATTCCTGAGTAAGGTAAGCTATTTCAGAGGGTGAGAAACCATTCATCGCGGTGAGGCTTTTTTCAAGATGAAGAAGAGATACTTTCCATACTTTTTTTTCCTTTCACAAAATTCTTGTAGACTTGTTGGTCTTTTCTTTCCTTCTCGGATTTCTATGCAAGTAGCTGGCGGCTCCATCGGCGCGCGTGCACTGGCGAGTGTTCAGCTGTAAGAACAGAAGTGTGAGCTGGGCATGGACGGATCGAGGGGATTTTGTCTGCCAGAATCTTCCAGTGGCAACACCGGAAGTCAGAGAAGATCTATCTATTAAAATTTATCCCGAGGTTTGTATTCGTGCGCAATCGCCCCTTCACTACCTTAGCTTGCGTAGCGAGCTACCTTGGGCGAAGATTTTTTTTCTTCGAGGTACCTACCTCCGCGACAGGTGCTCTGAAAAAGCCATAGCGTCCCGTCGTAGACTCTTGGGTGTCACTGGGTGCCAAGGAGTTATTGTCTGTACGTTGGTACCTCAGGTACCTCACAGAATCGACCAATATGGTTCCACCCGCCTTTGTCGGACATCCCTCTACTCCGTACGTAGGCAATTGTTTCCCTACAGGGCCAGCGCATGTGAGCCTTTCCGCAACTTGAGCAGAAGAAGCAATCGAAATTTCGTACATGAGGTTAACGATACAAGCATTCATGCAATACCTCAAGGTAAGTCAAGCTGCGGCGCAGTTCTGCCCGAGCTCCGGATACTCAGGTTTCTCACCCTCAATGCTCAGGCTCAGATAAAGATATCGAGGCACAGCAACTTCTTCACATCAACACAACAGCAGCAGCTTTTCAAGACAACCTCTCGGCCGGGACTGCGTTGAATCATCTGTTGTTATCGAATCCCATCCGCATCATCTCTACCATGAGTCAACTTGGTGGTCCAGGTTCTCGACAAGCCAATGCCAAGCCCATACCGTTCGTACCTGACCCGGCCCTTCTTCAACAGCCAATGCAATATGTAAGGTGGTGCGGTGCAGGCTAACGTGTGACAAACATTACCGTTACCCAGTCCTCAACGTGGCAGTTTCCCACTTGATCATGATGGTGAGTTGCGAAATGTGTGCCCCAATCCATTACGTCTTCGAGATCCTTGGTCTGCTAACGCGCACCCGATCAGGTGAATGCAAGCATGTTATAGCTACTTATCTCGAGTGCATCAAGAAAGTACGAGGAGTTAACGACGCGGAATGCCGCGACCTTGCTAAATCCTACCTTGCATGTCGGATGGATCGGTAAGTCTGCTTTTCACTATGCGACGATGGACGAAACGGCGGACGCCATTCTAACTGCTATTGACTCTGGCCTCAGAAATCTCATGGCCAAGGACGAGTTTAGAAATCTAGGCTTCGATAATGGACCGAAACCATCAAACGACCCAAACGTTCTAGCTTTAAGCCAAGCTCAAGCCCAGGGAAGTACTGGCAAGGACAAGGACGCAAAGCCCGGCGAACTACGATGGTAATATGATAGGTTCCTGGAGACTCTTCAGCTGATAGCTCCTCTAAGTGTACATTATTCACGGAGTTAATACCAAGAGGGCATTTCTTTGCATTGCGACGAATTTGTGGGGATCTTCGACGACGTGGTTGCTTGACAACGCAGATGTGTAAGAAATTGTCAATATATGAGCCATTATGCGCGGCAAAGAAAGTCATGCACTTTGACAAGTTGTGACAACGGACCCAGTAGCATCGCGCTGGGGGCGTCACCCTGTACATGGTAAAGCCCAAGGCAAGGTACGGCATATTTGTTTACGCAGATGCTGCACTATTACTCACTTTGGTATCAGGCACTGCTTACTTCTGCAGATCGACGCGCTTGCTTTTGGGACAAGTTGGTTAAGACATGCTAAATTGCCCAAAATCTCTGTTCTCAGATACTTGAGGTAGGTATGTAGGTTTGCAGCTATCTGACGAGGTGCCTACATTGGCGCATACCACTGCTCCTGAGGGCTTTGTGGAATACAAAACGCGAGGTATACATTCAGCATGGAAAACATGATCACAAGTTGGGGTACTAAAAGAAGGAAAGTGATTGCTTCCAAAGAAGTCGACACAGGATCACGGGCATAAGCCACCATCTGAAGGCGTCTGCCACTGTGGAGCTGTCATTGTGGTTGTCTCCCTGAGAAGCGCTGGGAACACGCACGGCGGGAGGGGCTAACCTGGAAGGGCATCAGGTCACACTGCACTGAGGTGACTCCCTTAAGTACCGGGTGTGTCCCCGACGACGGGCACAGAGCCCCCTGCGTAGTGTAGCTAGGCAGGTCAACTTAAGCTCACCCAACCCCGTCGGCCTCGATGTTGCGTTGTCACAGAAGAGAGTCATTGTTGCCCCGACAACGTCCCACGCCAAATACCTTCCCTTCCCTTAGCTACCGATGGATGGCTCAAGTATAACTTCATCGCCGTCAAGCCGAGTTCCCTCCCTCTCAGGGTGTCACGAAAAGACTAAGTCTTTCCCTTTGGTTCATAAGTAGATGCATCATCACCATCTATTCACACATCCATAGTCAAGCGAATCCACTAGACCTTCACCGCATGTTCCCCAGGCACCGCATCAATCTTCACCCTGTTCCCACTGCCCACTGCCCACCGCCACCACCTTTTCCCGTCTCCACTGCTCGATAGACGACGTGCTCGCTGCACGCCAGCTCTCCATCATGCACCGCAGAAAGAGCACTGAGAAGACGAGGAAGGTGACTCCTCCATCGCCAAGCTACATGAACAACGAACAATTCGGTGAGAAATGCTTCTGGGCGCTTCTCTTCTTCTGCCTGTCGTGATAGCTAATCCCCAACTCCTAAGCTGCCTACTTGGCAAACCTTCGATCCAACAGAGTCGCCCGCCCCGGCGGAGCAAGACCTCTGCCGCCTTCCTCTTCAAGCGTAAGATCAAAACGCCCTTCAATCGAACATAGCATTTCCGAGCCCCCTCCTCGAAGCGAAAGTCCTGCACTTTCCACTCCAGGTTCTATCGATTTGCCACCGCAACCGCATCCCGCTTCTGTAAACGCCAGTGTATCATCCCGTCATTCAATTCCGAGCACCCAAGGACGGGAGTATCAACCTTACCGCCCAACCTCACCTCTGAAGCCCTCTCAGGTTGTGCCGACTGCTACCTACATGGAAAGAGGACAGCGATGGATGGAAAAGGAAGAGGCCGTGTCACTTCGACATGCCATGGAAGACATGTCCATTAAGAACGGCGAACAACACGTCGAGAGTGAAGCTGCGGAGACGCCAGATGACGAAACACGTATCTACAACGCTGCACTCGACGAGGCCTCAGAGCTGGTCTGGCGGCATCAGAATGGAGTTCGCCCTCCTGACAAGGACGCCCCGTATCGGTACAAGCCTCACCTCAGAAAGAACAGTTATGCTCATGCTCGCACCGCAAGCGTCGGCAAACATGCTGACGGCGCTCATCCATCCGGCCTTGCCAGGGACAAGTCCAGGTCGGTTTCTGGCAGCTCTACCGACAGCGATGGTCACTCTCGGCGAAGTCGGCCCTCCTTGGCTTTGTCGCGGAATAGCGTGGGGGAGGAGAGCCAGAGTCCCGAGCGGCCTTCGATGGACTTGGGAACTTCAGGGCCAACCGGTGCCCGACCCCTTCCGAAACCCAGGGGTTCGGGTCAGCGTCGCAGCAGCATGAAGCGGAACATCAGCGGCGAAGTTCAAAGACCATTTTCAGGTGACCAGATTTGGGAAGAGCCAGAAGCCAATGCCCGGGAAGACAAGGCCAAGACGAAGTCAGCGTCGGCAGCAGACTTACCTTTGGTGGACAAACCAGAGAACCCCCAAAATCAAGTCCGATTTGCTACAAACTCACAGGCGGACCGCGTTGGGCCCTGGAAACCCAGGTGCAATGTAGAGATTCAACGGAACCCACCGTCTCAATCGCGCAACCCACAGTACACCACCAACACGTCGGCTCCGAAGCCTGTGGTGGACGACCAGGTCCCCAAGAAGAACGGCATAGAGATACGCAGTGAAGACATCCGAGGGGCCACAAGTATGAAGCTGAAGGACCGCAGCGCGAAGTTGCCTACACCCACGGCTGTCAGTGATCGCCCTGGTCGGCCGATTGTAAGCTTCGACTCGAAGTGGAAGGCTCCAGACGAGAGAACTGATGCTAGGCCAGGAGCCGCGAGCCAAAACAACCAGCCGATGGAGATTCCTTCTATCGTGGTGGCGCCGGAGGAGCCTCCGTCGGACAGAGCACGCAGCAACCCGATCGTTCCGGTCATAAATATTGACGGGGCGGATGAGTCAACTGGTTCTAGTCCCGGTATACCCTTCATAGTCACCCCCGACGACGATGAATCTTCGAATCCGAAGCCGCGGCCCTTACCTGACCCCAAGACAGCGTCCAAGGGCCACCCTTTCCGGCGCCCGCAACGTCACTGGTCGCCAGCCCCTGGCGCGAGCAAACATTCAACCGCTTTGTGTCACGAATGCGCATTCCCCATTGAAGGTAGATTCGTCGCTCTGGGCGGATCTTCAGAGCGCTTCCATCCCCAGTGCTTCAGTTGCTTTGCTTGTGGCACTGGTCTCGAAGCCTTGGAAATCAGTCCAGAGCCAGAGGCTCACCGCCAAGAGCGCCTCGACAGAATCCAACGTCGCGCCCATGGCGAGGTGTTGGAAGAGACGCCAGGCAAGACCATGGCCGAAGACGGCGATGAGCGCTTACGTTTCTTCTGTCACCTTGACTGGCACGAACTTTATGCACCGAGATGCAAACACTGCAAGACACCCATTCTCGGGGAGCACGTTGTCGCCCTGGGAGAACATTGGCACTACGGACACTTCTTTTGCGCGGAATGCGGCGATCCATTCGAGAAGGGCATGACTCATATTGAAAAGGACGGGTATGCGTGGTGTGTCAACTGTCAGACAAAAAGGACAGAGAGAAGGGCGCCCAAGTGCAAGAAGTGCAAGACTGCTGTCATCGGACAGTACATTCGAGCGCTAGGCGGTGAGTGGCATGATGAGTGTTTCCGCTGCGCTTCCTGCCAGGGCGGTTTCGACGATGGCCAAATCTTCCCCAAAGAGGTTGGTGACAGGGTGATGGTGCTATGCACAGGATGCCGCATGATAGAACTCAAGGCATAACGATGTACACGAGCAGACTGCTGAATTGTGCGTTATGTCAAGTTGTCCAAGATAGGAGTTAGGATCAAGGAATAGGGGAAGCGATTGCGCTTTTGTTGTCGATTAGCATTCGGTATTGTTTTCAGCTTGAGCAGTGGGCATAGCGTTTGACTGGATAAGGTACTCTAGGGGAAAAGGCGAAAAAATTAAAGTGGTAAAGGTCATAATCGTCATTGACTGTCTTCATATGGCCCTGTTAGGAGAATCCATTGCATCCATGTACGCCATTTGCGACAGCCGAGGCCTTCTCAAGAAGCAAGAAATTCATCGCTCCTTCGACTACTCCCACCGTGTATTTTCCCGTTATTCTTGCCTCCATTTGACTACAGAGAACCGCCGACCTGCTCCTGGTGCACCTCGAGAGTGTCTCCATCCGCCATCTCGAGCTGGTAGTGCCACTCGCGTTAGTATTGCATGCAATGTCCGGGGCAGGCCGCGGAGCCAACGCTTACCGTGTCTGGGGTATCCGTGGGTTGGACACGCTGGCCCTCGAACAGGAACCGAACAGAGTTCATAGCCTTGCCTTGTCTCTCGCAGAAGGCCGTCATAAGCTTGTCGAGCTTGGTGGAGCGCTTGATCTTGAAAAAGACCTCGTTGTTGTTGTCGGTAACCTTGATGTTCAGGTGCTCGACGGCGGGCGGAGCATCTTGACCGCCAGCAGACGGGCTTCCATTCTCGTGTTCGCCAGACATTTTGTGACTATCGCTGACAAGGGAAACGTTAGCAACAGAACAAGACTGATGTTGGTCGTTTGGACTTTGCAGGGGTCAACGGGAGTGGATGGAGGTCGAATGATGGATGGAGTGCTGACGGTCTGGTATCCACCTACTTTGCGCTGCAGGGCGGTATTGCGATAGTGTGAGGAATCGCACGCGTGTGGCTGTGATATCTCGAGAGTTGGGCGTATGAAGAGCGCAGAAAAGGAAGCACGCGATGTTGTGAAGAAGGAGACTTGTAGAGTTGGCGAAAGGCGGAAGGTGGGGAGCAGTAGTGTGAGGCGCATCTGAGTCCGAAAGACAGGCGCATTAGGTACCTAGAGAGGTCGGCAGAGACACTGGGTGGAAGTGGGATAGAAGGCAATCGATTGGACGAAGTGGAGCGTGTTTCTTCTGAGGCTTACCTTAGGTACCTACCTACCTACCTTAGTACACTTTTCCACCCCAGATGTCGCCTGCCTAAGCCTCAAGGTGATAATGGAATGCAAGTCAGATACCTTCTTTCCTACCTACACCAACACTTCAATTTAGGTACCTTAATTTCCATCCGGATATTTGCCCCTTCCTGAAGTTTCGTGGAACACGTAGGTATTCAAGTATCCTCCTATTTGGTCGCTTGTCCTTGCATGATTCAGGTCCATACCCAGAAGCACATCAAGAAACAAGCGCGAGGTTGAGGCTTAATGCCCATGGCGGCTATTTGCTAACATATTCATTGTCAACCAGGACCGTCGCAACTTCTACATTTGGCCTTGAGCAAGGCTGCCGTCACCGATCGTCATGGTAAACTCTCCGGCACTGTTTCGTCTTACGATGTAGCTGCTGACAATGAAATGAAAGGGCCAGAATGAGGACCTGAGGGCGAATCCGCCGTGCCATCCTCGTGCTGTAAGCCCATCATCCAACCCAGAGATCAACTTGACATACCCAGCGCTGACCCAATCCCGCGCAGTGCGCTATTCAGGGTAGGTCTTCGTCATGCACTTCTCCACGGCTTTGTCACGATTTAGATACCAGATGCAAGGCTGAGTCAGCGACATTGAAGCTAACTTGGACTCACAGATTGCTTAACCAAAAATGGGTACAATGAGGAGAAGTGCCAGTCGGTGATTTTGGCCTTGTACGAGTGTTGCGAGGCTTTTTACCAGTCAAAAGCAGACAGCGCTACGTCGGCGAGCTGTCCCAAGCCAGATCTGCTTCGACTGAAATTGTCGAGAACACGCGAGGAGTCGGGCGAGGCCAATTCCCAAAAGTAGCCATAGATAGGGATGCTGAAATGTACACTCTTCCATAGATATACGTTAACCCGAGTAGAGAAATCTGGTAACATTCAAGAAAGAGAGAATTCTTCTAGGCATTCGTTGAGCGCGCTAAGAGACCCCGCAGGATCTGAACAAGCATTGAGTGCTTATTCCGAGACTCTAATACAAAAGCCTTGACATTGAAGAAGAAAAAGAGAGAAAGAATTCAAAGAAAATTTCCAACTGTGTGTGTTGATAAAGGATACCAAAGCGGGTCCATACTGTGTTTCTACATCTATTTACACAGTCAGTCTCCCACCTATTCAACCCAAGTTCGCACAGTGTTTACTTGTGCCCAAGGTTTTGACGCGACGCGCGCGACTACTGTGCGCACAGACCAGATAGGCGCTGGCCTGCCTCTCACCTGGGACGTCTGTTGGTCGCAAGGTGAAGTATCGACCTTAGACGCCTCATTGAGTTGCCAGCTGATTTGTTTTCATTATCTTTTTTTCTCCGGTCGGGTGGGAGGCCTGATCAAAGATCCCAATTCCACTATTCGAGTCTTATTTCTCTAGCCTATTTCCTCTGCCCTCAGAGTCGATACGTGGGAACTCCTTCAACTCTGTCGAGGGCCTGCAAAAGTTTCTGTGCACAAGGGCTTGATAGGTCGCAGCTTCTTGCATCTTCGACGCTGCGAAGCACCTCGGAAAGTCATTCACACCGCAGGATCGATGGCTTGATCCCTCCCCGGCCTGAAAACATAGACACCCACAATCATTGACAGATTGTAAGCAGAGGAGTCACTGCATAGCCTCACTTTGTCCGCAAGTCCTGTTCTGGCTAATCACACCCACTAGGATCGCATCGGGACTCCATACCTACCCTGGTCCCATGCGCAACCTTGCCGACGACCAAAGATCGACCATTCCACATTGAAGTTAACGAGGCGACCGGATACCTTCTGCTCATTTGGCGCAAATTTCTAGTCGATATTTTGCGAGATCCCGTTCCGTTCAACGACGACTGCAATCCTGAAAATGGACGGAATCGGGCCTGAAGTTGAGGTGTTCGCGAACATTCTCGACGATTGCCTGGCGAATCAAGGCACCGATGACGACAAACGCGCAAGGGTCTTGGGGCTGGTAAATGCATACCACGACTATGCCGCCGAAAAGCTGTCGCAGCTGCGCAAGCCACGCCGCCAGAACTCAATTGGCGACAACGAGATGGACCTGGACGATGAAGAAGAGGCCGAGGCTGCGGCAAATTCAGAAGAGATTCGAGTATGGGAGCAAGAAAGACAGACATGGGATCTCGTTCGTCGCCTTATCCCCCTGAGATATTCGGTCCGAACCTCGACGAACCAGCAGGCTACGAACAATGGAGAAGATCTGTGGAGGGCATTCCTCGCAAACGACCAGTTGGCCACGGAGAGGAAGACCATTCTCGAATGGTTACAACAAGGCGCGAGAGCTGGCCCTGACATCGACGACCTCGTACGAGAGCTCCAGCAAAACGCCGACAGAGGGGACATCATCGCTCACGGTTGGATACACACAAGGTCTGCCATCAAGTTGCAGAAGAGTGTGATTGGTTCTTCACGCCCGCTTGATGTGCATTTTCCGGAGGTCGCACGCTCTCTAGTCAACTCAGACAAGGCGCCACTCGTTGCCGAACTAGACCCAGACTCTGTGATCAGACAAGGCCGGAAGCTGGAGCCACAGGATGAGTACTTTGAGAGGGCCATCTGGGTGGGCTGCTTCCAGCTTCTTCGAAGAGGCTGTAGTTTAGAGACTACGCGGGAGTGGTGCTTGGAGAGGACGGAGATTTGGAGGGCTGTGTCCATGTCCGCCTTGCCTCTTGCAAATGACCATGGGGAGACCATGCTTGTTGACGACCCTTCAGCGCTTGCTCTTTGGAGACGCATGTGTTTTGCCCTTGCTCGTCAAGGAGGTACCGATGATATCGAGAGAGCAGTATATGGGGTGCTGTCAGGAGACATACCTAGCGTGCAAAGGGTATGCCAGACTTGGGACGACTTCATGTTCATGCACTACAACGCTCTGGTTCGCACGCAGTTCGACACTTTCCTCCTAAGCCAATGCTCCCCGGAAGCATCATCAACCATCCGGTCATCATTCGCCGCTTTTGACGCAGTCCAGTTCCATGGCGATGCCGCAACGTTGGAGCAACGCTTGATCCGCAACCTTGAGACAAGCCCGCACACGAGCAAGGAAGCTCTGGAGCCTATCAAGGCACTACAGGCCGCCATTATCTCGAAAGACCTCCAACGACACTTCTACGAGCAGGGTGTGGCCATCACACAGAAGGCGAATTCCAAGGAGGCATCTGCGCTCATGCCCGATCATAACTGTCGCAACGTCGACGTAGTGACGGAAAAGTTCGCCGACATCAAGAATCCTGATGGCCTGCGAATTGCTGTTCACGCACTCATCATCTTTGATACGCTGGATAAACTCGGCACTCTGAAAACAAACACCGTAACAATGAGTTCGGATCATGACCGTCGTGAATTGCAAGAGAACACGATTACGCAGTACATTAGCTTGCTCCGTCTAGCAGGCTTGGAGGAGTTGATACCACTGTACTGCTCCAGGCTTCACCCATCGAGAGCCTTCCAAGTGTTGAGCACAAACCTACTTCCCATCACCGATAGCGAAGCTCGTCAGGAGCAGCTCGCCTTCATTCACAAAGCAGGACTGGACGTGGTGGAATTCGTCAAGGCACAACCACAGTTCTTGTTCCAGACCTTGGACCCCGATACTGCGCAAAACGGCGCCATGCGGGAGTTCCAGATCATGGACGATGGCCCGGCGTCCTTGAAGTACGGACGTTCCATCAAAACAGACTTCTTCGGTGAAGATCCCGAATCCATTGATTCGGTCGACGAGCGGTTGATCCGGTCAGTGGAATGGCTGCTACTAGTCAACGAGGCCTGGCCCTATGTGTTTTCCATCAGCGTGGCGATTTACAAGCACTTTCTAAGTATGACCCTGCCTTTACGAAACAGAAGACGCCTATCCGCTAACTAGACCCCAATCGAACAGAGACCATGCATTTGAATGCTGCGAGAAGCTTCGCAAATCGTGTACCATTCGACAGCATTTTGCGTATGCGCTCAAGCGATTTCCCTGAGCAAGCAGAAGACGAACTCTGGTGGACACAAGATGGAGAATTCTGGGTTAACCAGCTCGAAGGCGCGGGTGCGATGGACCTCTCGCCAAGTCAAGTAGTATCGGACGCCAAGGTATTACACGAACTTGAGTGTCTTGTCAGAGCCTTGGACACAATGGAGACTGTCGCTTCACTGGCGGAACTGTCAAGAGAGTATGGAGACCTGACCTTTGGCTACAGCATCTTGCTAACCACTTGCAGGGACCCGTCTGTCAAACGAGATTTCTGGGCGAAGGTTGGCAACGAGGTTAAGGCAGCCAAAGAACACGTACGACCGCTACTGGATGACTGGCTTGGTTGTCAAGGTAATCCGTACTCCTCATCTCACGTCTTCCAGAGAACTGATACGCTCGTGACAGAAGATCAAGACTTACAAGCGCTGCGGGAAGCATATCTTCCTGAGACACTTCTCGCCTACGTCAGCACGCTCCATTTCGCCGGCACGACGCTGACGAGGGATAACTTTTTGGAATGTATGGAGCTGGCGGCTACTATTGCGGAGAAGGGCTCCGATGTGGCAGAGTGCTTCATCAAGGCTAAGAGAATGAAGGAACTGGTCGAGTGTTTTGCTGCCTGCAGCAAAGCTCTGGCCGTCGCATCGGGGGAGAAGAAGGCGGCTAATTCGAGTAGCAAGAAGCTACGTGAAATGGGGTGGTCGCGGGATCTTTGGTCCGTAAAGCACTAAATTAGGCAGTTTACTGGCGAGTTACAATGTTTGTTAGGAACAAGGAACGGGGATCTGAGGTCTCTCTTGGAGATGCTTTATGTATACATGGCATGCCGCTCATGAAGACTTCGGCCGGACACAATGTGCCTCGAACACACCAAGGTCATCCAGCTGCCAAGTTGATTAATGCAGGGGGGGACGATTGCTTAGATCGAGACTTTGCAAACTCACAAATAAAAGAGTACCACAGCAAAAAAGAGAGAGTTCAGTTTCTAAGGTACTTATAATTGAGTATTCCATATAGATAGGTGTTTATGGATATGAAATCATAATACGTAGACGTGAGCTTAAATGTATAATAAGTAACGCAAGTTTAGTTTTGATTGGTTATATCCAATCATCCGCTGTGGGTCACCCCAGACAAGGTCCCTGCTGAACGTTGACCTCTCACCCTTCTGCCTGGTAAACCCCAAGTCTCGTAGAACCACCCCGCCGCCCAACGAACACTAACATCTCTGTACTTGTGAGATATACTTTGATCAGCCTGCCAAGTTAGTCAGGGGCGTAAAGATTTTCCTGAGTCTTGGGCATAAGGATCATCTCACTGAAATCTTTGTTCGGCTGCAAGCTTCTGACCACGTCATGCATGATCCTCCACCACCGGTACTCCCACCCAAGCCGGGGAGCCACGACACAAGTCGTATCGGCACGCCGAGTATGCTCAACTCGCCCCGGCACGGCAGCGGTAACGGCACTGGGCTTGAAGCGGAGGGTGTAGGTGGGAGCCGTTTGAACCAGGTCTCGCAGCCGGCCGGGCTCGAAATTGCCCGACCTGAGCCTGTGCCTGATCCGGGCGAACAGTGGCTTCCCAAGGTGTTGCAAGACAAGGCGTACGTTCTTGGATATGGCAGTGGCGTCATCTGCCGTTCATTTTCTTTCTCCAAGCTGATGATGGTATTAGGAAACATGACCTCGCTGATATAGCGACCAACGTGGACCTGCTTAATGCCCTAACACATGCACCAAGTACGATTCACCCATCTCTCTCGTCGTCTCACCAGGCCCTTCAAGCGGCCCTGACCGAGAATCTTGAGCTCGCGTCACGGCTTGTAGAGCTCGAGGCTCGTCTAGCCCACCAGCGGTCCACGACGCAAGCACAGCTTCTTTCAACACATGCGCTCGAGCGCCAGTGGCGACAGAAACAATCCGACATGGACCATGCGTTAGCACCCTTCTCACCCGCTGCCATGTACCAATGTCTGGGGCAAGGTGTTCATGAACAGGCCTCGGTATGCCATGTCTTGGAGGAGAGTTTCATCGACGGAGAGGGAGATGGCGCGTATGCGTCGGAGAGAGAGACGGTGGACTGGATAAAGAGATACAGAGACGCCAAGATACTATATTATCTTCGGCAAGAGAGAAAGGAGCGATGGGATGAAGGTCGCGTTGGTGGCTGGAGATGAAATGAATACGACCTCGCCACCTGGTTCGGGGAATTCCAAGTGAAGGCGAGAAAGGAATGAGGTAGCGGAGACCGCCGGAGGTGGTCATCATCGCGGTCTGGAGGTAATCATTCGTCTCTATCGATAAACGGGAACCAGCACATGAGAACTACATCGCCGGCATGTCGACAGATTTCTGTGCCTTTTCTACTGCTGCTCCTCAGCGGTAATATTGGCGACGAGAATGCAATGCAAATGACCACGTCTAGCTAGCAGATATCTGAAAGAAACATTCTATGGAATGGAAGGCGGAAATGAAGTATGGAGGAGTAGTAGCCTACAAACTGAATGAAACATGCTGCAATGACTAAAAAACGCTATCATGTGTAGCGTACAAATCCTGTCTATGTCGTCCCGTAGTCCGTCTACGAATGTATGCTATACACCTCCAGCTACAGCTATCATCCACTGATTTCGAACATACACGGCATACGTCTAGGGGACTTCGCCACCCTACTCCCTGGGATCGTGCTCAAAGTCGTTGGAGTGGAAGTGATGTTGGCCCAGAAGCGATCACCACATTCAGGCGAAGCTAAAGGGACTTCGTTTCATTTCAGGACTGCGAGGGCTCATCGGGAGTGCAAAAAGTTCTTCCTCCTGATCCTGGTCTTGCTGTCTCGGATGAAGGCCGCCCCCTGCGAGCATGGCGTCCAATGATGCCGAACCTCCTAGGGACAAGTTGCCAGTCGTCGTCTCCCGCGCAGGGTACGAGAAGGAGTGAAAAGCCATACCAGTGGGGGCGGGTGAGAAAGATATGGGCTGAAGATGCGCGTTCTTGTCTGTGAGTCCCAAGTCAGTTATACTTGGTTGATTTGCAGCATAGTTTATGTTTTGAGAGTCATCTCACCAGCCGAACCAGCAATCAAATCTGCTGCAGAAGTCGCGAGCTTCAGTCCCTTCAGCTTCTCTCCCAGTCGGCCACTGGTTAGGAGGTGAGGAGAGATGGGGCTTGGTAAAGTTTCTGGTGCGGACATCATCCGGCCTTCGACGATGTTGTTGGTATTTGGAGCAATACCAAAATGATCGACGACCCATTGCTGCTCCTGAAGCACCATTTCTAAGCCGACGCTTTCGGTGTTTGTCATCTTCTCGGCCTCGATTTCTTCTTGAAGTTCACGAATTCTTTTCTTGGCCCAGATGGTGTGAAGAACCCCACGTGTTCCAGTATCAAATCCACTGGCACTTAGGCCTGGCGGGAAGATGGCGGGAAGGGGTTTGATGGTGAAGGTTGTACCGTCAGGATGAATAATGGCAATGGTGGAAGGAACAGTGGCACCGGGTGGAAGCAAGAAGTACATCCGTTCATGCGTTCCTTTAACATTGTCGCTTGCTGGAAGATGGTTTGCCTTGCCTTCCCACGAAACTTCCCATGCCTTGCCTGGCGTAGGTGAGAGTTCGGATGCCGGAGAAGAGGAAGACGGAGATATCGAGGGATCCCATTCCACCATTAGGACCTTGGTGCCCTCATTACCCTTGCCTGCTTCGAACTCGAACCGGGCAAGGGCAAAGGGCGCGGTGTCGGCGGCAGAATCGAGATTGGTGCTTGTTGGCGGACCAGAGAGATGCGCTCCGATCGACGTCACTTGAGGTGGCGACGAAGCCCGAGTTGTACCCGGCGTTCCCATCTCTTCGTCTCCGTCCGGTCCTGGCCCGATTGTGGTCCGGCGTGAGGTGGGTTTTACGGACACGACGCGGTGCGGGGCCGGGCGTTTTGCGGCCTGCTCAGGTACCGAAGCGCGTTTAAGACTCAAACTGCCCATGCATAGCGTACTTTCCCCGTCAGCACCGGACAGGAAAAGCACAAGGTATTATCGGCCAGTATAAGCAATCTGCCAGAGCCGACCAAGTCTATCGTGACAATGAACTGTAGGGATTGAGCCGTGGTATGGGTTCCAGGTGGTTCACCGGCAAGGGAGCCTGGTCTCTGATAAAGGCAAATCATTTGAGACGGAAGAAAAGAATGAGGTGTTTGCACTGGTGTAGATAAACCGGCACTAATAACCAATGACTAAGATGACTTTGAAGGAGGACGTACCCAGACTTGGCGATGAGTGGGATGCGGAGACGGAGACAGAGATGCATGGAATTCAATCAGGTACGGACCGTTGTGGCTGAGGTTATTGACGCCACGGGCACCATTGGAGAGTTATGATTACTTGTGAGGATCCAAATTGAGAATTACTTGTCTTCATCGAGTGGCCTACAGCCTACAGCTACAGTGTAGGTGTCATGGTGGAAAACAAATCGCGAATTAACATTGAAGCAGAGCCGTATACGTGCCAGGGACTTTCACGCGTATCTTGGTATCTCAAGGTCCCTTTTACTGTAAAGGAAGTGAATAAGAGGTAGAATAAGAAGGGTTTCTGTCTCGCACATCAGCCACCAAAATGAACAACATTGATTCTGTCACTCGAGTGGTGCGGTTGGCCTCCAGGACCGTGTGGCTGTGTCGTGTGTGGCTGTTTAAGGGCAATACAAACCCGCCACGGAGTAGTGGTTTTTGTCCCGGCTCCAGACCCTGGGCTCTGGAGCAGCTCAGAGAGCGGAGGAAACGCGGAGTAATATGGAGGGAATGGGGCCTGGAGGTGCAACCGTTGTGTAAATTTTTGATAAAGCTGGAGAAGTTTAAGAGGGTAAGACCCCACCCCACACGACGGATCACCCCCCACGACGGATCGCTCGATTAGGCCGACTTTTTCCCTTATTTAATACTACTATTATTATACTATATAAGTATTAAATAATAATAAAAAATCGCAAAAATTATACTAAAATTATTAATAAATTTACTAATGTACTTATATAGCGAGCGGGCTATTATAACGAGCGGGCTATTTTTAAATACCCTCTTACTATTTATATAAGTTAATTAAGCTATATTATATAAAATTAATTAGAACTACTTATTAGCCTCTTTTTTAAAAATCTTTTAAATTACTTAATATATTTATATATTATATTTAGTTTTTTTATAATTATTATATTATTATTTATATAATTTACTCCCTTTTATATAAATACTTTTTTAATATATATTTTCGCTTTTAATATTAATAACCCTCTTTTTTATTTAAAATATTTTAGCTTTAATAATATTAAATAACTTTTTAAAATATAATTAGGTTTTATAATTCTCTAACGTTTATTTAATATTTTACTTATTATATAAAGCTTATAGTACGTAGTTTTAAATAAGAACTAATTTATATATTAATTTATTAATATTTTTAGTTTATAAGTTAATAACTTAATATAAATATATTAATAAGCTATTTTAATAATTATAAATTCGGTTTTTAAATAAAATAGAGCTTTATATAGTATTATATATTATAATTAGTATTTTTAAGTCCTAAGAACCCTAACTATTTAAATATAAATTAAATAATATTAACGTTTTTAATTTAAAATCTAAATAAAAAATAACTAATTTTAAATTAAAAAAATATAATTTTAGCCTATATAAAACTAGCTCGTATATTTTCTTTACTTATTAAAATAAAAAAAACTATTTTAAAAATAAATTTTTTTTATTTTAATAATATATATAATTTATATTTATATTATTTTCTTAACTTTTTTAATATATAAAGCTTTAATAAATTAAAATAACTAATATTAAAAAATTAAAGCTTATATAATAAATAAAAAAGTATATAAAAAGTAATAATATATGCTCTTTATAATAATTATTAAATTTAGTTAATTTATAATTATTATAATTATTAAAAATAAGGAGCTATTTAATACCTTTTATATGAAATTTTATAAATTTTTTTAAAATATTCTAGTTAATCTAAACTAATTTTATTTATTATTTATTTATTTTTATTAAAAAAAATATACTATTCGAGAGGGAATTAGTTATTAATATATTATAAAAAAAATATTTATTTTTAATAATAACGTATAAAAATAATACTTAGCTATTTATATATATATTTTAAATAATAAAAATTTATTTATAATTACTAAGCTATTTTATATAAAGCCTTTTATAATAATTAAAAATTATAATAACCTTTATATAACATACTTATATAGCGAGCGGGCTATTATAATAAGTAAGCTACTCCTTATCGTACTTTAAAAATCGATTTTTAACTATTTATTAAAAATTAAATATAAATTTTAAATATATAGAACTTTTTAAATAAAGTTTTTAGTAAATTTATATAGTAAAATTAAATATTTTAAAAATTATAATTTATATATATAGCTTTTAAACCTTTAAAAAAAGAATTTTTTCTTATCTTAGACCTACTTTAAACTTATATATATAATTAAGCTATATATAATTTTTAAAATATTTAATTTTATATTATAAATTTTATCAAAATATACTTAGAAAATTATATATATTTTAAACTTATATTTAATTTTTAATAAATAATTAAAAATCGACTTTTAAAATACGATAAAGAGTAGCTCGCTCGCTATAATAGCCCGCTCGTTATATAAGTACGTTATAAAAATATTCTTATTAATAAGACCGTTTTATTAAAATTATAAATATTATTATTATATATTTTATATTTTATAATTATATTTTATATAAAGGTAAACTAAACTTAAATAATTATAAAATATTTAGTTAATATTTTTTAATAATTAATTCTATATTCAAAACGCGTTTTTAATTATAATTAACGTTATATAAAGTTCTTTATTTATTATAGTTTAATACGTATTACGTTATATTTATTAGAAAATAATTACTTGTATTTTATATATTATTAAATTATAATAAAAATCCTCGATTAATTAAGTTAATAACTCGTTTAAAATTTATAGTTTTTTTTAAAAAAATAATTATTTTTATTAAATTTATATATATTTTTTATTATAGAAATTAGTTAATATATTAATATTAAAATATTATTTTTAAAGATATTATAAATAATACTAGCTTTTTATATAAATAGTTTTAGGTCTTTTTTAATAATATTAAATATAAAAATAATACGGCTTTTATTTAAAAAAGAACTTATTATAATATATAAAAGAAAGTTATTATAAAAGAAAGAGGTATAAATAATAATAAAAATAGCCCGCTTATTATAATAACCTGCTCGTTATATAAGTATGTTATATTTAATTATATAGAAAATATATTAAGAATATAAAAATAAACATTAATCTTAATAAATTAATTCCAAAAACTGTTATAAATTAAGGAATTATTTATATTACTCTCTTGAAATAATTAAAAAGTATTATAATAATTAAAAAGTTAAAAAAAATTATTAAAAGCTTAATAAGTATTAAAAGTAGTTTTTTATTTATTAAATAATTATATAAAACTAGTTAAAGTTCGCTTTAATTCATATTTAAATTAAAAAGTATATAATATAAATTACTTAATAAAATAATAACTAATATTTATTTAAAAAATAAATAAATAGCTTTTTATAAAAGAATTTTATATTATTAATATTATAGGTTTATTATATAAATTTAAAGCGCGTTAAGTCCGTTATTATTAATATTATAAAAGCTTTTTAAAAAATCTTAATAATTTTAAATATTAATAAAATCCTAAGGTTCTTTTAATAAAATATAAATAAAATAAGATTAATAAAGAATAATAATAAAAATTATTTAATATTAAGTAATTTTTTAAAAAAATCTATTTTTATTTGTGCCCCTAAGAACCGTATTTAAATATTTATATTTAAATATAGTTTTATAAGTAGCCGCTATTTTTTATTATTAATTATTTTTAAAAAATAAATTATATAATAATAATAGTTTTTTAAGGAAATATTGAATTATACTTCGTAAAGTTTTATATTCTTTTTAAATAAGTAGACCTTAAATATAATTAAGTTAAAATAGCTATTCAAAATATTTATTTTAAATAAAAATAAAAGTTAAAAGACTTTAATATAAGCGTTTATTTATTATTAATAATTATGTTAATTACGTTTTTCATAATTTTATATAATAATATTATCCTAAAAGTATTTATTTATATTATTTATTATTATATTCTAATTACGTTATATAACCCCTAAATATTTTAATATTCTTGTTTTTTAAGATATATTACTATAATAAGTTTAATAATTACGGCCTTTAGCTTAGCTTAATACTTATCAAATAAAAAAACTTTTTTTGTTATTATTTTTAAATTTAAAAATAAGCACTTATAAAATAAAACATATATACTAATTAAAAAATAGTAAAGTTATAATTTATTAATATAAAATAGCCTTATATTTAATAAATTTATTATTATAATATAATTTATAAACGTTTTAAAAGTATTTTTATAAGAATTTTTATTATAAAAACCACTTAAAATACCCTAAAATTATAATATTAATATTTTTTTAAAAAAGTTAAAAGATTTTAAAATGTATTAAAAGTTCTAAGTATAAAATAAAAATAAAAATAAAAATAGATATAATTTTATTTTTATAAATTAATATTTAATAAAATAAATAAATAGTTTAATATTTAAGATATAGCTCTAGCTAATATTTAATTAGTTATTAAATTATTAAAAGCTTAACTAAAATTATATAAATTAATTATATAAGTAAAAAATATAATAAATTTTAAATAAATAATTTATATAAATCGAGGCTATTATAAGGATAAAAAAAGGCTAAGGCTTATTTATAATACTTAGTTATATTTTTAAAGCTTATAATTAATAAAAAAAACTTAATTTATTAATATATATTTAGAATTATAGATTTAGTAGCGCTATATTATTAAGAATTTAATTTATAGTTATATAGTAGTTTTTTCT